CTTCCCCCACCTCATCTACCCTACCTTCCTCCCCCCCCCCCATCCCGCTGGAGGAGGCAGCAATAAAGAGGCGCTACTGCCTTATGGCAAATCAAGTATATCTGCTGTAATCGCTATCGCAGTTTGCCTTATGATAAGCTGCGTATATTATTAACTTCTTATTTGCTTCCTGCCCTTCATCTTCATTAGAGCACAATGAAAGACATTCGTATCTGCTGAAAGACGAAAGAAACTCAGTTATTCAGCTAAACGTTATGGTTTGTTTAACTTTATTTACTGGATGACCGCAGAGCCAATACATAAATTTTAATTAATATTTTATTTAATTAATTTGCTATATTTTACTTCCCAATTGCTAGTTTCAAGTAATAAAGCTGTTCGAAACTGTCATCTCTCTTCCACTGTTTTTCAGCAAGAAATACGTAAATTTCGTGACTGCCTGCATGCGTCACGACTGCCATACTAATGGTCGCTTGACTGCCATACGTCGACAGCTCTTCCACACTATAACTGTGTCACAATAGCATTATATAACCCTATCAATTCTATTCTAAATCACAATTACGAGGTTTTCACACTAAACATTACATTTCCACTCAAATCAACAAGGTTGTATCTAGTTTCCGTTCAATGTTTCGTGGAACCCGCACAGGTTACTGTTCGAAGCCTATCTCTCGTAGCAATCAAGCCTATCTATACTCAAGTTTACAGTTTTCCAGATTCAAAATACCTATATATCGTTAGATGATAGGTGAAATAGCCATCCATGTTATATTCATGCCACGACCGCCGTATAATATACTCCTGTGTCAGACTTTTTTCAGTGTGACGTGTGACGGAATCCAGTCAGTTGTTGGACTCAAACACGAATGCTGTGTATGTGTGCTATATCACTTCACGTGGCACAAATGCTGTGTATGTGTTCTATTTCACTTCACGTGACACAAATGCTGTGTATGTGTTCTATTTCACTCAACGTGTCACGAATGCTGTGTATGTGTTCTATTCCACTTCACGTGTCACAAATACTGTGTATGTGTTCTATTTCACTTCACGTGACACAAATGCTGTATATGTGTTCTATTTCACTTATCGTGTCACAAATGCTGTGTATGTGTGCTATATCACTTCACGTGTCACAAATGCTGTGTATGTGTTCTATTCCACTTCACGTGTCACAAATGCTCTGTATGTGTTCCATTTCACTTCACGTGTCACAAATGCTGTATATGTGTTCCATTTCACTTCACGTGTCACAAATGCTGTGTATGTGTTCTATTCCACTTCACGTGGCACAAATGCTGTGTATGTGTTCTATTCCACTTTACGTGGCACAAATGCCACGTTTTGTTCTATAGTATGTGTTTTATTTCACTCTTGGTAGCGCTGCAGGGCCGAGCGTCTCTGCCGCGCACAGTACGGGGTGGGGGCGGCGGCCGCTGCGATCCATACGAGGCTGCTGCCGCGTCGTCCTGGCGCCGCTCGTGCCATTGCGCTCCTCTCCCGCCACCGCCGCCGCTGTTGCTGCTGCTAGTGGTGGTGGCGGTGGTGTTTTTTTTGTGGTGGTGGTGGTCTTGGTGGTGGTGCTGTTACTGCCGTTGTTTCTGCGATCCTTTCACGCCGCCGCCGCCGCCGCTGTTGCTGCTGCTAGTGGTGGTGGTGGTGGCGGCGGTGGCGGCGGTGTTTTTTTTTGTGGTGGTGGTCTTGGTGGTGATGCTGTTACTGCAGTTGTTATTGCGATCTTTTCACGCCGCCACCGCTGTTGCTGCTGCTACTCGTGGTGTTGCAGGTAGTGCTATTACTGCTGCTGCTATTTCGCGCCTCTCATGCCGTCGCCATTGTTACTGTTGCTGCTGCTAGTGGTGGTGTTTCGGTGGTGCTATTAATGCTGCTGTTATTGTGCTCCTTTCCTCCCGCCGCTGGGGGTGGTGGTGGAGGTGTTAGGGCTGTGACTGCGACTGCTGTTACTGCTGATGCCATTTCTCTGTTCTCCCTCCGTCGTCGACTCTGCTACTGCTATTAGTGCTGATGCTTCTTATAGTAGTTTTGGTGTGCTGCTGTGACTGCCTACTGTATTGCTGACAGTTAAGCTGTTTCGGCGCTAGAGCAGCTACTGTTGCTTCTGTGGTCTGCTCTGGTGGTCTTCAGTGCTCTATTACACCTCTAGTTTCGATGTGGCCAGTAGATGGGATTAAGTACGATACCTATCTCAATAACATACGTTGAAATATTCTCTTATCCCTACGCACACTGATATAGTACAACACGTACACTTACGTGTATGTCATGGCAGATTGTGCTCGTAATCTAGTCTGAGGAAACCCTTTAGTGATAAGATGCAGTAGTACCAGTCGCGCATCTGCGACGCTCACGTCTCTCTCCTGCCATCGTTCGTCATAGCAAGCGAGTGCAGCCTCTTTTGATTCACTAACAATCTGGAAATATGGTACACTGATATTTTTTTAAGCAGCCAGTGCTCTTGTGGTAGATTAAAGGGATCTTCATAATGTTATGATCAATTCTTAAAGCCAAATTGGCGCATCGTCGTTGTCTAAATGCGTGTACCGGCGTTATCAAGATAATGTGCCCCTGTGATGCTAGTGCCATCAACCAATTGTGACTACGAGACCAGCTTGCAAGATGCTCTCTGAAGTGTGTCATGTGTTGTAAGAATCATTAAGTGTGTCATGTGTACGAATCAAGTGTTTCATGTTCATTTATGTTCATTTACTCTGTTTATATAGCTGAAGTTTACTTCACTTGTTAACTGACCTCGAGATTGAAGAAGGCTGATGCTATACCACATATTCTTCTTATGTTGATATTGATTTAAGATCATCACTCAGATGCTCAATATTTCGAAATGTCAGGAGCCTAGTCATGCTGCCTCCGAGTTACACAATATTCTCTTCAGACAAACCCCACATCGAAAGCTAAACTGTAAACTCTTGGAAGAAGTCGCTCATATCCTAAGTTCTTTATCTAGATTTATTCTAAAACATATTCTCAAATATTATCTGCATTCTGGATAGTAAGAGTTCCAGCAATAGTGATGTGTGCTGGGGTTTGGCCTTTCAGACATTCAGTGAAACCTGTGATAGCGAACGCCTGCACTTACGGACAACGACCGAAAATTTCGCAAAAATTGTGATCAATGACCAACGACGAGCGATGCCTGACATCAGTACGGATCCCGCGCACACACAGTTTAAGGCTTGGAACGAATGATTATGACTTACATTCATTGTTGTTGGAAATTTATTTCGTCTTATACGAACCTCCATTTCCAGGAATTTGTTGCAGTCTATGAATAATGTATAATTAATTGAATATATTTATTGACATACGGTATTATCTATACCTACATATTTTCTAGTTGTTCATGCCAATCGTGGCTACAGTTTGTACGATTTAGCCATAGCTGCTCCAGCTCGTGCTGCCTCACCTGGTGCTGCAGCTGCATGTGCTGCCGTGACGCAGGCGCTGTAGCTGCGTGCGTTTGCCGTGACTGCTGCAGCTGCAGGTGCTGCCGTGACGCAGGCGTTGTAGCTGCGTGCGTTTGCCGTGACTGCTACAGCTGCAGGTGCTGCCGTGACGCAGGCGTTGTAGCTGCGTGCGTTTGCCGTGACTGCTTCTGCTGCAGCTGCAGGTGCTGCCGTGACGCAGGCGTTGTAGCTGCGTGCGTTTGCCGTGACTGCTGCAGCTGCAGGTGCTGCCGTGACGCAGGCGCTGTAGCTGCGTACGGGACCGAGGCAGGAAACATATCCTCTTGTGATAGCTTCTTTCAGGTGCCGCACCTGTACCGAACAGATTACGCTCAGTATCTGCTCTGAATATACTCCTATAGATTTCGAAACTGTATGCTTCAAGTGTTTATTCAAGTGTTAATGTTATCCTATCATCCTATCATTATAGTATGGCAAAATGTAATTTGTATAAATTGATGGCTAAAAATGAATTTTATTTACATTTCTTCTTGTTTGATTTCAACGAGTCGAATTTTTCGCTGGTGTTGGTCAATCGAAAAGTAATTTTCCGAGTCGTAAAGGCTGCGGTGGCAACTTCGTGGCCACATCACGTACGGCACTGAACAAATTTTACCTAAATAAACTTGTGATATTAAGGAATTGGAAACCATTGGGTACGTTTAGAAGTTATCTTCGGAGACTAAATTATATTTCGTTTTTTTCCTGACCTTTATTGTCGTTTTTGTCCGCTGTCTTTTAATGCTTCCCGGAATTTAATGCTTTAAAGGAATTTTGGTTTCAAAATATTATTTATAGCCTAGCCAGTTATCGGACATTCAATTGGTTATTTGTGGCTTGATGTTATTAAATTTGTTATCAATATATCTACATAACCTGGTCAGCGTTTGCCAACGTAACTGCGTTGTCGCCCTCGATGGGGGCGAGGTGAAAACGCGGGCAATGCCAGGAGTGTTTCGGGTGACAGGATGTTGTGCGGGGCTGTAGAGTTGGCTGTCCCTATGGGGAGTTGGCGCACCATGCAAACGACGTTGGAACAACGTTGATTCAACGTCAGATGTCTTGGGAGGGTAGTTGTCCCTCTGGTGAGCGTTGAGGCTAGAGGAGTGCAATTTAACCCTCTACACATTGGGACTCGCGTTGTAAACAATATAATGTTGTGCTGATGGCGCTTTGTATTGGGGATAGAGACATTAAGGCGGTGTGAAATAATTCTTCGTATGTGTTATGTTACCATACATTGAAAAGTATTTCAGGTGTTCCTACATGTTAAGACGATGGGTTCAGCCAATCACTGGCCGCTTCTCAAGCTGAACCCACCAATTACAGACGAGAAATCGGGCGCTACGTGTACTTAAGCCGCTACATGTATATATTAACCACTTCGATTACGTAATTCGCTGCGTGAACTTATAAGCGACTTTCGATAGAACGGTTCCTGGTGTTAATTGAAATTTAATATAATTAATTAATTAACATTGCCGTCTTGTTGAGCCCTGGACTTTTTGTGTGCAGGGACGCAGGAACAGTGCTGACGCTCGCAACGGTCACAACGTCTATCGAGTGTAGCACGTCTCCATATTAAATATAAGGTGAGCTTTGTAGGTCTTGTAACTAATGAATGTGAATTATCTGGCTCACTGTTTGGGTATCACGAACATAATTGTTGTGTTTCCTGGCGTAACCGACAAATCCTATTGGTTATCATAGTGGTGAAAAACGCAGCTATTAAGTGTTACTGTCTATCGTCTATCATCGTTAATTGCAGCATCGTCAGGTTAAATTCAGCTGGTGAATGAGTTTAACTATTATTGCCAGGTGAGTTAAGCGCAGCTGGTGTAAGCTAGTGACTAGCGTTACCAGTCATGCTGCTAGCGTGCTCCAGTGGTCTGAATCACTGGAGGTGCCACTGCTAGTGTACGCTAGTGACTATCATCACTAGTGATGCCACTGCTAGTGTGCGCTAGTGACTATCATCACTAGTGATGCCACTGCTAGTGTGCGCTAGCGACTATCATCTCAAGTGATGCCACTGCTAGTGTGCGCTAGCGACTATCATCACTAGTGATGCCACTGCTAGTGTGTGCTGGTGGTTATCATCTCTAGTGATGCCACTGCTAGTGTGCCCCAGTGGTCATAATCACTAGTAATATCACTAGTAGTGTACCCTATTGGTTATCATCACTAGTGATGACACAGCCAGTCGAGGTAATGTGTTCCAAATTTGTGTTGGCGCCGCTGTAGCAAAATCCAAAATTCGTGTGCCAATGAGCGCGCTGGGCTGAGGGCGCGGGGGTGGCACGGCGCTCTCGGCGCCAGACGTCCTCGGCCGCTCCGCCAATGAGCGGCTGTCGCCAGCGTGACCACGCCTTCCTAGCTTTTCTTATTAATTCACTTGCTGGATTATTTTTTCGTGTTCTGGAAGCACGAGGGTGGGTGAAAAGACAGGCTGGCGGTGAGCATCTTTTAGTGTTTTGTTCTGTTCAAGGAAACGCAATTACTATCAGGGAACTGCTCCTGAGAAAATGTTGCTGCTTCTGCTGCTCCTTTCCCCTCGCGCTGCACTGACGGACGACCACGGCCTCTCGCCCTCGCAACCGGCGTCCGCTCCTTTCAGCCGCCCTCTCTTCTTTCCCTCACATTACTGCCTTTCCTATACACTGCGTTCCTGTTCATTTCCGCACTCTTATACCCTCGTTCTCTGTTGTTTTTCTTCATTCTCCACATTTCTCCTCTTCATGCGGTATGCCTACAATCCATCATAACTCTACATGTACTATTTACTAACAGTTCGCTCGAGGGCGCCGTTAAATGTGAAGCCGTTGCTAAAACGCTTTCAATGATGCCGTAAAGGTTGACGTTTATTTTCTAGAATTTCAAAAGCTTGTGTTGGATTACATTTTTTTAAATCTGCACATGAATATTGGAGTCAACCTAACCACTCGTCTGGTCTTTGCTTTGTATAAAAATTCATCATTTCTATTTGAGTAACAACTCTAGAATTATGGAAGAAAGCTTGAATTTTATTCTATTCATAAGCTATTCGTTCAAATACATAAGTCGGAAATTTATATTCAAAATTATACAAAACAGGCAAGAAATCGACACTCCCAACTTCACTAGCGAGCAGGAATGATTTATGGCCGATCTTACTTCCGACGGGAATTTCTTACCCGATGATAACATCTATCACTAGCCTCGCTCTATTGCTTGCTGCTGAGGCTCACTGGTCCGTGCTGGCAGCGCGACCAGCATATCAGTGCAGATCTTTGTGCTGCGTCTCTAATGCACTTCCAAATTGCGTGGCATTTACAACCTGATATTGAAACAACATGATTTAACTTATGACATTCAATTTTAAATGTGCATTTATTAGCTCTGTCTAATTTATCGCGCGTTGAGACAAGACTTTCCCCAATTCTTGTTTCAAAATGATACATTTTTTATTTCATACGTCATCTCCTGAATTTCAGTGAATTATATACTACCGGCTTTAATTCAGTGACAGAATCGTCACATTGAATGATTACTGAAAATTAATGTTTTCCGGATATGTTTCTTGTGTTGTTTCGCTGAATTAGTCTTCATTTGTTGACTAAACGGACTGCGCTTCTCAATTAATTCAGTTATTTAGAGGACGTAAGCCCAAAAATTCATGTCCTTTGAAGTTCTATTTCATCTGTAAATATTTTTCAACAGCGTATGATAATCTGATAGTACTGCAGTACGCTCCTAATTGCATGGTGCTGTTCTACCGCCACTAGAAGCCGTCGGTCGTTTCCTCGAGCAGCCCTGCTGCTGGAGCAGCAGTTTTTTATTTGACCGTCACACACTCCTGTTCCCCCTTCCGTCTGTTCACCTTCCCCCTGTTCCCCTTCCGTCTGCTCGCCTTCCCCGCCCCGCCAAGAACTCCCTCTCCTCCTGAACCTCGTTGTCCCTCCCTCAAGTGGCGTCCCGAGGTCCCGCGCTGCACAGTCCCGCAGTCCCAGTCTGGCCTGGCGCGTCGCCGCTTCTCCCCTCACTCGGTCTTGCAGAGCAACCCTCGCTCTACACCCTCACTTGCGCCTCACATACGCTCACACGCCACACTTCGTCCTCCACACTTGACTTTTGCGAGTAATCTTCCATTAGTATTGCTCACCTCAGGCTAACATTCCCATCATACATGTAGTTCGAAAAAGGTCTTATCAGCCTGCATATTTTTACTACGTGTTAAAAATGCGACTAACAGTTGAGTAAAGTCTTTCAAAGGAGTGATAGTTTTACACGATTTAATTCGCGTTCCATATGATTTAATGTACCAATATTGCGTGTCTACTGGAGACGTACAAATTGCAACCAAATGTAATTCCCGCAAAGTTTGCTGTAACTAATTCTAATTTGTACTCGTCACTTGAGCGTGACCACACTTTGTATGCACGGCACCCCCTTCTATCGTGTCGTGTAGCAGCGGCGACATTCCATTTTTCACTGCTAATTGACACGCTCCATACGTTGCCTGTACTCGGACACCGATACCCTGCATGACAAGGTTTCAGTTGTCGCTACCTCGGCGCCTCGTATTTGTTAACGCTAATTGATCCACTTTTATGAATTAGAAACAGCATCGTTGCTTGTTTCAATGATAGAAATGTTTCTATTAATTATAATTCCCTCAAATATCCCCTTTGTGAATTCCTCCTGAATCCTTAATTGAATACATTTGCTTATCACCTTACCTTTTTATCCGAATTTAGATCCTAACTTCCTATTCCTACTGCATCGTTATCCTTCTCTTATTCTCAGTTTTTAACCTACAGTCTGTAAATACCTCTGGGTATTCACATACCCTCTAAATAATGTTCATTACCAACACCCTAATCCTTAACTACAATTACCTGCACCTTTATCCCCAACTACAATTACCTACACCTTGATCCTTAACGACAATTACCTACACCCTAATCCTCACCTACAATTACCTACACCTTGATCCTTAACTACAATTCCGCCTGCACACTCCTGACCCCAGCATCGCTCTTGACCCGATCCTCCTTGATCCTTACCTAGAACCTGACCTTCCCTCGTGACCTGTGTGATATTTGTGCCGTGGCAAAAAAAATCCTGATTGGTGCTTTTCTTGAGTGATATTTTGAACAGATATTTATTTCGTGGTATTTAACGCAAGTCTGGTCGAGGAAAACACTGATTATGTTTTAATTATTTTTCCTTAGATAAAATGAGGAGATACTGTCGCCTATTGTAATTTCATTTGCTAGAATAATTTTGCAATGCGGTCGTCCAACTTACCAGTGTTCTCTTACTGCGCGTATTCAATTCGAGTTGATCCTTTCAAATTAACTTATTTGTTCATGGCTCTATTGACGTATTTTTGCAATCGCGAATTCAAATTTCGGACATTATGCGTTTCCGTCTATAACCGATTTTTTTTATATTCTCCGAGCTCAATACGAGTTCTCAGCCCTGCGAGTCGAGGCCGGCCTCCGTATTGTAACCATAACTCGCCTCGCTACATCAGTTCCCTAACTTAAAACACACCGAGAGAATTGTAACTCATTCGGATTACCAGTTCCTTCTTAAGTACAGATAAAATGTTAGCTGTAAACAGTGTTCCATTTCGGTTCATTTCGGTCTAGTCCTTCAGCTGATATATTGAGCGTAAATTAAGAGAACTTACATAGGATTAATAAAGGACGATGAGCAAACGATTCACCATTAAGCCAATTCACTAATCTCATCGTGGCTCTGAGAGGACAATTCTCACAAGAAAACTTTATGCAAATGTTGTTCAGAATACTGAATTCAATTTTGTTACGTTTTGTATTAGCTTGATAGTAAAATAGCCGTCCTGAGCACATTCATACATTTTTGTGGACACTCCAGTTAACCCACAACTGACTGGAACAAGTACAGAAACTTGCGATAGAATTAGTCATTCAGTCCAGCCAACGATCGCTAAATCTTTGACCAAGTTAGTCATTTTTCACGACGATGTTCTCTATTACGAAATTATTTTACCAATTAGAAGCTCAGACTTACTATTAGAACATTGTCCATAATTACAGCCATATTCACTGTAGCATGTACTGGTCGCCATGCGATCGTCTCAGCGGAGCTGGACTCCCCTTAACTCTAAATGCTGGACGGCGCCAGGGCGTCGGCCTATGCCGCCATGGGCCTACGTTTGCTATCGAGATAGTGATTGTGTTGCCTAGACTGAGAGCAGCTCTCGCTGACGCTTGGTAGGCCTTAAATTGCCTTGCGCTAACTACCCTCGATCTGGTTGAAGCTGTTGAGTCTTCTGTGCACTGAACGGGTGAGTAATGATATGCATTTTTTAATTCTTTAAATGCACGGTTAGTAGCCGATGATGGAATAAGGTTAGCTTCCCAGCTATAATGTCGTGAAAACCGAATTTTTGACTGCATACTTCAAATGGGGGCTGCATTGGACGTCAATGTGAATTGTTATTTATTATTTCTTAACTGAAATAATATTATTATTTTCTATCTGAAATGCTATGTCGTATCTTATCACACGGGAAATCTCGTTCTCTAATACCTTTTATATCATGGCTCGTATTTAAGAGTAACGCGAGGGATTTAATTTTAAACTTGTTTGATTTCCTGTTATGCGATCCTGACTGGAAATAATTTTGTAATTCGTATTTTTTTATTCCTTTATTGTTATCTTTTATTATTATTTAATTCTTATATATTCCCATATTTTTTCACCGACTCTCGATTCATTTGTTATTATTACCGGCGTCGATTAATTGGCAATTTGAGATATTATTTATTTCACCAAAAATTTATTGATTGCCCAAAATTTGACGAGGATTTATTTTCTATGAAAACTTTTTGTTGGATCACTGCTTTTACAGTAGACGTGCATTGTACATAATTCTCATTTTGCTAACATTTTTATATACTTCTCTTCCGTTCTCTGTTTGAATGTTTTGCAAGGCTCCTTGAAAATTTATCCACGCATTTTATTGGTTAGCTATAGTTACGCTTCAGATTTTGCCCAAGGAAAAAATTTTGATAAATAATATTTTTTGGTAAAATATCACTCGTTTTTTTATCAACTTCTTTTCCATGCATTTTCGGCGATGTTCTGATCTGATCTTCGCCAATTCCTTCAAAGTTTTTCGTCGTGATGAAAATACAATATTTAGTTTTATTCTATTGACTGTGACGTGGTAATTACAAATCTTGTGTGATTCCTACACAAATTTTTGTTTACTGTGAAAAAACTATTCCAGTTAGCCATGAATTTGTTCTTGAACAACGCTATCATATCCGGCATTAAAATATCGTGGCGCTGGTGACAATCGTATCCTGTCTTCACTATTTTGATAATTTTTATACGTTTATTCGGAACATTCTAATCAGTTCCCTCACAAATTGTATGCTCCAGCAACACTTCATTCACAAAACATGAACGATTTGGCATCCAAATTATACATTCACTCATTTAAATCAAATTTGGGCAGGAATTGCGAAGTGATAAGTATGCAAATTTGCTCGCTTACTTTTTACTTTGGCTTACATTGCCGTAAATCTTGTGTAATTGAACTCAAGGAGATTCAAGTCCTATTTTCTTGCTTAAAACTTTAGTGCTTGAAGACAATTTTTTTGGGTCCCTAATACGTTCCGACACCGGGGGCCTTAGCGGCTGATTCCACTTGATTGGTAGCCTGCTGGCCGCTCCACATGACGCTAGTCTAATTGCAGCATTCACTGAATAACGGCGCTTTCGGTGTAAAACTTCGCTTAAAGTCTTTTTTCCTGTACATGTTTATTCCTATGATTTATTGGATACGTGAAAATAAAAATTGAAAAATTGGTCTATGAAAATATTTTGAGTTAATAAATCATAAAGTTATATATGATAAAAGGTGCAGTGAAACGTTTTTTTGTGATTTTCCTGTTAATGTAGACCCTAGTGTCACGCTTGGTTTGAGAAGACTACCTGACTACTGTTAGCTTTCTGTTCGCTCATTCATCTACAGGAATTATTGTCGATTTTCTGGAAGTCTGACAATCAATATGGATAAATATAAGTCGCATTTTGCGCTTTTTCTGTGTCAATTTTTTCTTTCGATGCTCTAGAAAGCGTATTAAATTTCTGTCATTTAAATATTACATTACATCATTTAAAATTTGCATTCATTAATTTGTATTTTATTTTAACGATGTCTATCTGTGCGCAGGTAAGGCCGTGTTGCAGTGAAGTCAAGTGCAATTATCTGCCAACATCGTGCCATCCACCGGCGCCATGACTGCGATATCGCTGAAGGTTGACGTGCCGGAGCAAAGCGTCACAAAAGTCATTCAGTTCTTCCTGAACACCACAGCCTACGATGCCTGCAAGGTCATCAGGGAGAAGATCACCGACACTAACCTTGGGCTAGGTACTTTAAACTTCTGAACAGTTAGCTTACTTAGCTAGCAAGAATTCACGTAGCTTTTAATTAAAACATAAAATTCAAGCCCATGAAAAGTGAGAGTAAAAATTTTACTGTTACGAGTTACTTGAAAAATTTATTACTTACAAACTCTTGTTTGGATGAGCTCGTCTCTGTTGGATATATGTAATATATAACGTAATTTGAGTATCAAAATAACGTAATTTGATATGATTAATATAGCTTTGAGTAAAATGTCATATTTTGATCGCAGCGAAAGACTACGGGCTGTTCATACCTGGCGAAGACAACTCGGGAGTATGGATGGAGCCGACGCGCTGTCTGAGCTTCTACAACGTGAAGCCGAACGACAACGTGCAATATCGTCGCAAGATGCGCCAGCTTAAAGTGCGCATGCTCGACGGCGCTGTTAAGACGCTCATGGTCGACGACAGCGCCCTCGTGGCGCACCTCATGGTCAACATCTGCACTAAAATTGGTTAGAATTGCTTCCGTTCCGTTAAATTGCTTCCATTCCCTTGAATTGCTTCCATTCCCTTGAATTGCTTCCGTTTCGTTAAATTTCAAACAAACTTTCCATGCTCAAAATGCCTGATTGTTTGTGAATGTGGCAGTAACCTTAGAATCACGAGGTTATTAATCTAATTGCAAAATTTTGAAAAAAATGATGCTTGTTTCAATCGGAATTATTATATGGTGATGAACACGCAGACCGACAAGATTTGTTTTATATCATATAATATATGTAGGTATATGTACAATGTCAACTCTTTATTGCTCGCAGGTATCATGAACCACGAAGAATACAGTCTCGTGAACGAGACCGAGCCGCCGGAGCTGGAGCACAAGCCCAACTACGGCACGCTCACGCTCAAGAGGAAGATCAAGGACGGGGACAAGGAGCGAGATATTAAGATGGAGAACCTCAAGAAGAAGCTCAAAACTGATGATGAGAGTGAGTAATGAGATGTGTCATCAGTATGCCTTGGTCTTTCGGCTCATTTTTGCGCATTTTCTCATTTATATTTGCTCATTTTTAGCGCATTTTCTCATTTATGGAAAAAAGGCGCTATTGTGCTCGCCATGTCCGTCCGTCTGTCGGTCTGTCCGTCCGTCCGTCCGTGACTTCACGTTTTCATCGACGAGAAAATGCGCTCTCTGTCACTCACTGAGTTTCATTTTTTACATGTGGTATATTGATGAGATGAGTTTCTTGTGTAGGTAAAAATATGTTTGTTCCAAGGACTACTACACACAGGACATGCATAGCCTATGTCCAGCCTCTGCTAGCAGAGGCGATCGCCTACACTATGAAAATGCTGTTGTTTTAGTGTAAAACTGGCAAAAAGTCTATGGTTCTGACCAAGGACTACTACACACATTGTAATACTATTGTATGAAACAATTATGGGCATATCATTTGTTGATGCCACTAAAACAACAGCATTTTCATAGTGTAGGCGATCGCCTCTGCTAGCAGAGGCTGGACATAGGCTATGCATGTCCTGTGTGTAGTAGTCCTTGGTTTGTTCATAAGCTTAGCCGCGGCAAAAAATAGTGGAAGAAGTCGTGTCTTTAATATACTTTTAGATGATATTTAAGTGTGCGAGTTTGCTTGAATGTATGCAGTCTCTCTTGGTTTCGTGGGCGCAATTGTGAGGAGCAGATATTATTGCGGTTTCTTTACAAGTTGCACATGAGAAGCATATCTACGTATGTTAAACTCGTCTCTAAATTTGACTTCTCTTTTATGGACCGTGATTCCATAGGAACGGCGGGCAATCCTCGCTACCTGCATGAGTAGCCAGGTTCCCAATATACCCAATGAGCGCCGGTTGCTCTACTCTATGAACTACTAGCTTTAAATGAGCTTTGGGTATATAATGCAGCTAGTTCAACTAGTTGAAGGAAATTTTCACTGTTCCTTTTACCACTTTTTACTAACCCCTCTGCATATTAAAAGCGGGTTTACGACCCTAAGATTTGACTAAAGTTCCTTTTTCTATAGATGTTTTGCTAATGTGTTTTAAGTACGGTATTGCACAAGTTTTTTCAGTATTGCTAATAAGTGCTGTATCAGCTGAACGCTGATACTATCGGTGAAGTGCGGTACTGTCGGGCTCTAGGCCGCCAAATTCCTCCTTGGGCGAAACTCTTACGTCACTACGGGCTGACTAATACACGACTGAGTCTTGGTCCCTACTCTCTTCGGCATCTTCTCCTCGCTGTTGCTCAAGTTTGCGTTTAGGGACTCCACTTTGGGTATCCATCTGCATACCGGAAGTGATGGTAAACTATTGGCTCGTTTGAGAGCAAGAAGAAAGGTCCGCACTGTCCTCATCAGAGAGTTGCTTTTTGCTGATGATACAACTCTCTCTTCCCATGCCGAAGAGTTTCTACAAAGGCTGATCGGCTGCTTTGCCAACGCCTGCAGGGAGTTCGGCCTGACAATCAGCATCAGGAATACCAACTTCATGGGTCAGGACTTTTTAGCGCCACCATCTATCACCATTGACGGTGAACAGCGCGAAGTCGCCGAGCATTCCACCTACCTTTGCTCTAACATCAGCAACAACTTGACCGTCGATAGCGATATTGACAAGAGGATGGCCAAGCGGCATGTGTGATGGGCAGACTGAAAGAAAGGGTCAATCAAGCGGATAATGCAAAACACCAAGTTTGAAGTGTACCAGACAAGTCCAGACATGCATCCTTAGTACCCTTCTGTATGGCGGCGAAACCTGGACCACGTACGCTAAACAGGAAAACCGCCTAGAGTGGTTCCACCGCATCCTTAACATCACATGGGAAGACAGGGTCGTTTAACACAGCTTTTTCGGAACAAGCCGGTACAATGAGCATGCATCTCCTCATTTTCTTACACGTGGTATTTCATTCCATCCTTATTTTCTTACAAGGGTATATTGATGTCACCGGAGTTTAAACCAACTATATGTAAAGATCACGCACAGTGTGTTGTATTTGTAGTGGAATAGTTTTGATATGTTTACGTATATTAAGATATTATTTATATGTGATCAGTTAATTGGCTGGACCACGGCAAGACGCTGAGAGAACAAGGCATCACCGAGAACGAGACGGTGCTGCTGAAGCGCAAGTATTTCTTCTCGGACCGCAACATCACCTCGAGCGACCCCGTGCAGCTGAACCTCCTCTACGTACAGGTCAGCTCACGCTCACCATCTTCTGTGTTTTTTTGTGAGGTGTTACTTTATTGTTACATCTAATTTTTACAGCCACACAAAAAACTTTACATAGTATTAGTTTACGAGCTAAAGGTTTTCAATGACGTGGTATGTTTGAGGCAAGTACATATTTCTAGAATCGCAAACAATTATGTAAGAATTCCGTCTCAAGATAAGTTAATGAAATCAAAGGTTTGAATGATCATCTTGTCTAGCTGTTGAGTGTAAAGCACATTTAATTGTCCTGATGTCGGGTTAGCGTACAAACAACATTGAATTTGGCCTTCTGGCATAGTCCATGCATAGATAGAATGTGTGGTAGCATAGGTTACTCCCTCTAATTGAAACGCAAGTCAAAGAACGATGATTGACATCTTTAACAATGATTTGGCTTGTTAAAGTCCGTACGAAATCAAGAACTTGAATTTAGACTAGAATTTATGATGTATTTCTTTACTTAATGAAAACTAATAAAGTCACATATTGCAGTGCCGCGACGCCATCGTTGGAGGAGCTCACCCAGTGCCCCTGGAGACGGCGTGTCAGTTCGCCGGCATTCAGTGCCAGATTCAGTTCGGCGACTACGACGAGAACAGACACCGCGCCGGCTTCCTCGAGTGAGTGCTTCCCTTGCGCTATGAAAGTATGCAGAATTTTACCCGTCACTGTGTGCCTTGAATTGATATTTGTCTATGGAAGTTAACAGTTTGTGATTAACATTTTCATCGAATTTATCTTGCTCTATGACAGTATGCAGAGTTTTACGTCACTGTGTTCCATAAATTGATCTTGGTCTATTGGAAGTAATCAGTTTTTATTGAACATTTTCATAGAATTGATCTTGCTCTATGAAAGTATGCATAGTTTTACCCGTCACTGTGTGTCATGAATTGATCCTAGTGTATGGAAGTAAACAGTTTTTAATGAACATGTTCGTCAAATAAATCTTGCTCTATGAATGTATGCAGAGTTTTTACTGTAAACGTTTCTTGAACATATGTGAAACTGCACGATGACCGCTTGAAGCTATATATAATTTCATACTTTTTGGGAACCAGTTTTTGGTTACATTCAGTTACTTTTTTTACAACGATCTGATGTGACACATGAATAAATGTTAAGTGTCGTATGTTGGCAGTGTTGACGTTCACTCGCAGATCGCTGGAAAAAGTAATAATTGTACCAATTGTTTTCTATGATATTTTCGGCCGAACAATGTTTTTGTTATAGCTAGCGTAACTGATAAGTTGTCTCACCTGTAGTACTGCTATCATTTTGAAGCAATTGTAATTGTTTCTTGTTCCTGCACAGCCTGAAGGAGCTGTTGCCGCAGAGCTACGTCAAAACCAAGGGCGTGGAGAAGAAAATCTACCGCTTCCACGCGCAGTGTAAACACAAAAGCGAGCTCGATGTGAGTTATTTCCATCCTTTGATCAAGAGTTTAATAAATGTTCGCGTTATTTAATGTAGTATGTTTTTCCCCGGATTGTCCGCAGCAATTTAACAACGTTTTTATGCTTCCAGGCCAAAGTAGACTACGTGGAACTGGCTCGCTCGTTGTCGACCTACGGCACCACCTTCTTCCTCGTCAAAGAGAAGATGAAGGGCAAGAACAAACTGACGCCTCGCCTGCTGGGGGTGACGAAGGAGAACGTCCTCAGGCTCGACGAAAAGACTAAGGAGATCATGAAGACGTGGCCCCTGACCACCGTGCGACGATGGGCGGCCTCTCCCAACACCTTCACTCTCGGTACGTTCAGCTGTGGTCTGATTTAATTAATTTAATTTGAAGGCTGCGTTCTCTATGCTCGATTGTTAATAAGCTCGCGGTGACCGAGTGGTTAGATCATAAAAGATTGGAGCAGTGAGTTGGAGGTTCGAAACGATTGACGACAAGCAACTGGTTGTGAAAATCTGCTCTATATCGGCCAAGTGAACGTGTGATTGTGAACTGGTGACGGGACAACATTGCCTGTTAAATGCTGACACTACGCAATATTCAGTTGTATTCACTCATTATTATTTCCGTGTATAGTATGAAAGGGAAAGGGTGTATGAATTCGTTGCTCTAGTTCTGCTCTGATTTTGATTGCTTCACATGCAGACTTCGGCGACTACTCGGACTCGTACTACTCGGTACAGACGCCGGAGGGAGAGCAGATATCAGCCCTCATCGCTGGCTACATCGACATCATCTTGAAGAAGCGCAACGCTGCTGACCACATCGGCATCGAGGGGGACGACGGCAGCGCCATGTTGGAAGACAATGTCGCCCCCAACAAGTGCGTACGAAATCATTGTCGCTCCCCGAAGTTTAGATTTATCATTTGCGCTCATAAGATAATGCCAATAATTTCGAGCTAGTGAATGGTATCATTTATTCATATCATTCTTTTGCAGAATTTCAATTATTCGGTTTAACGAATATAATTATATTTCATTGGCATGTGAGAAAACCCATTTCTACTTTAAGTGCTTTGTGAGAAAACCCTTTTATACTTTAACACACAAACAGCGTAAGCCCCAGATCATTCAAGCATTTTAAGTAAACGAACTGTAGAGTTGTTATATTATTGTATTAGCTTTCCTCGCGACTAAATACCGAGCTGTAACCTGCCCTGCCTCTGACCAGGGCGACCATCATCCAGCACCAGGAGAGCGGCCACCACCTTCACTCTGACGTCGAGTCTCTGTCCAAGCCTGGCATTATGATACCCGGCGCTAATGGTGACTATCAACTAACATTTTAAGCGATCAACTATAAATTACCTACTCATTTTTCAATGAATCAATTTATATTTATTTTTCCTTGTCTTTCTTAAATTTTTGCGATCCAAAGATTGATCATAAACCTATGAATATTGAACTTGAATTTGTATATCATTTTTAAGCAATTTTATGAACCGAAATATTACGTAGTTGACATTAATGTAAACATTTTCCAGAACAATTTGAATCTTTAACATCGTTCAAAATGTGTTTTCTCGATTTAGTTTCCTGAGTGTCATAACCGTAACGAATATGCGTACAAGAGTCCATTGAATAGTTATTTTAAGAAATAAATACTGAATGAAGTTGCTAAGCATGACAGAGCTTGCATCGACCGCAGCACGACTCTAAAGCGCCACTGCCGGGTCCAGCTCTATTGTCGCTACTTCATGGGTCCTTAACTCGTACAACATCCTAATATTATCATTATATAAGCTCTTATGGATTATCCGATAGAATTATTAGGCTATTTCATGTGATTATTGGTCATAATCTAGAATTATAGAAATTGACGTTAGTTCAATTACAAGAACGTGCCATTAGCCACGCACTCTCAAAGGATTAAGTGTACTTCGACTGATTAACTCTTGACTGAAGTTTGGCTGAGTGACTGTCAACTGAATTTCTTTCTGTAGCTCGATTAAGCGCATGAAAAAGAACATTAACAGAAAGCCAGAATTATTGGCAACAGTTACTGGATCTCATAGAGTATTCAATAAACTAATATGAACGCTCATGCCTTACACGACATCGTTTTATACTATCACGAAAGATGTTCTATCGCAACGTAATTATCGCAAACGAATCTAATCGAGAGGTCTGCCAAGCTACGAATGACTAGACAATTTCTATCAATCGTTAGCATAAGCCACATAACTGTTTAGTTATTTATGACTAGTCTTATTTTAATGCATTCATTGCCTGAAGTGCCTTAATGCGGCAATAAGGCTGGACTTCATTTTAGTTCCATACTGTAAACAGATCGTGATGTGAGTAACCTGTCAGAACAGCCTATGCATCGCTTCATGTTTTGTTATTGTTGTGTCGTCGCTTAAACATCGTTGTTGCTAGTGTCTAGGTCGTATAAATATTTTTTTATAGTTAGCTAGTTATCAATTCTTTTAAAGCTATCAGATTTTTTAGAGCTATCAGATTATTTTAAAGCTATCAGTTTCTATAAAAGCTTTTCTTAAGCTTTTGTATCTAATTTGCGCTTGTTTTCTCGACCTCGTTCGTAAGCGCGTCATAATAGCTAGACTCGAAATAATTCCATCACTCCGAGGGATTTGTGGCACCGCGCAACGCTCAATAACTGGCCCCTGAACACTCGCATTCCCCATCCTTAATTTCCCTCCCCATGGTCGGGTGTTTGCAGGTCCCCAGAACATCAGCCGAGGAACTTTACCAGGCGCTAAGGTGGGGGCGTTCGTGGGGCAGGTCAACAGGGCGCACCACCCCCCGTCGGTAAGCTGAGCCCCCCACCCCCCATTTCCCCCTAAGATTTTGTCCTTTGTAAAATACGGCTATTGAACCCGCGTATTTAAGACGCTGTGTGTGAATATTCTCGGGGCGTTGAATTTGGTGGTCGCTAGAATGCCATCAATCTCACTAACTAATTAAGCTTACAATTATCTGCTTATTTAACCATCATTAACGAGGGAAAATTCTTTGATTTGTATGGGGCATCATTTTCCCCTCTGTGTTGCCTGGGAGTGCTTCAGCATCGCACTAACACTCGTCGTCTTCAGTAATGCTTCTACAGGGTGCGGCGCGGGAACTTACTTATTTGAATTGCGCGCCACGTGGCGGCCATTAGTCCTAGGAAGGTGGCGCCATGCGCAATATGGTGCGCGGGCTATGAAGTTTTTCGTCCACTCAGTTCAGTTGCGACCATGCAGTGGTCGAGAGAGGAGCGCGCGTTCGCAGTCTCTGTCTACTTTTCTAGTGTGATCTCGTCTGACAAAATGTATTGAACAGCATGGAGGTCACCTACAAGATGTAATATTCAAGAATTAAACTTGTAAGTAAACCCAACGAAACTTTAAATGTAGCTCTTTGTAAAAAAGAAAGAATTAAAACGCTATCTTTAATACTTTTTACTTTGTGATTTTTTTAAAAGAGTAAGTTCCCACGCCGCACCCTGTACAATAAATCATTCCGTGCTTAACTAAATATCAAACATTATTTAAGAAGTTCGTTCTGCGAGCAGCGTGTGCGGAAGACTCGATTTATATTCCCTTCTCAACTGACGAGAAGACTTGAATCGTCTCGAACAACATATTTATTCCTTGAAACGTCTACTAATGCGTAAGATGATGTATGATTTGCAGTAGAAATGTATGTCTTTTCTGTATCTGCTATTCGGGTGAAAAGTCATGGTGTGTATGAGAAATGAAAATAAAATAAGAATCCCCATGAAACGCGGTCGATTTACGTAGCTAAATACATAACTAGTTTCGTGTTCATAGAAGCGCCGTTAACGTTTTCAGCATGCTTCTCGGCGATGTTTTAAATGCTCTTTTCATTTTGCTGCAATTAAAATCTTTTGAATTTTCTTACTTTTCTCTAACCAAGTTTCTCTTTACTCCTTTATTTTAGTTCACTCGTTCACTAACGATTTTCCAAATGTTACCTTTATTTAAGTGCTTCTTGCCGCCCTTGTTCTCAGTCCTGTAAAGAATCTGCATGTGCCTTCTTACTAACAGTACACGTGGCTTCAAAACTTCCATGCTTTCTGATATTTTATCTCAGCTTCGACGGAAGGTAATGTGCTCCATTTGCCATGCTAATAAGGTTAAATTATTCGTAAACTTATAGGAAATCAAAGAATGAATTCCTCATTTAAAGCACGCATTTTTTGAACAAGTATGAATGTAATAATAAGTAATGAGCGTCATGTACACTGTCCTCCTAGTTTCAACTCATGCAAACAGATGAAAAAAATGCTCACATTGGCTGCTATTTATTGCTAGGTTTTATTGCTCCAGTTGTCAAATTCCCCTTTCCATTTCATTTATTGACTAATTATAATAGATAATTGTGCAGTGTGCACTGCTTTGAATGAGGAAGTCTCGATCGCTGCAATGTTTGCCTGTGTTGCTCTAAGTAGCGTAGTGACGAACATGACGAGCAACGCTATGTTCCTAGCATTTGTTTCACTCTGGTTTTCTCTTTCATTGCAAGCCTCGCGTTTGGGGAAGCTCAAACTACAAGTACGTTGACACGCTCGAGATGAACAGAGTAGCGCTGCATCTTAATTAGAAGCAATCGTGTTCTGGCTTGCGAATTTCTTGTTTTTCCTCGTGAATATTTATTTATATTTACCTTCGTGCTTGCTTTCTTGACAAGCCTTTGATTCCATTAGAGTTTTAGGTTGATTTATTGTATTTAGCAAGGAACTAATTCCCTAAATGATTGTAAGATGTTAATATCAAAACGCTGTATTCAAGTTAAAATGTAGAAATATTTAAATACATCGTCATTGTACAAAATTTTAATGTATGAAATTGTTTAGAGCTCCAATGATGAACAATAACTATTTCAACTTTATAATCTCTCATAAAGCTTTTGATGATACATGCACAATGTCAATAGATGCAGCGTTCGTATAACACATTGTTCGCCTGCTCATAACCCCCCTCTTGTCCAGACTCAGCAACTGCAAATCACAAACGTGACGCTGAGCAAGCCTCAGCGCGCGCTCATCTCGACGCTGGAGAGCGGACGCGAGATAATCACGACGTGTACAGAGGAGCTGGACACCAAAGCTGAGCTGCCTGAGCTGGGCTCTGATCCAGCGTCCGTGCGCTGGAAGCAAGTCACGCTGGACAGCAGCAAGCAGACCGTCACGTCCCAGATCGCTGCCATGAACGCTGCCACCGCCGAGGTCGTCACCCTTACTTCTTGTGAGTTATCCATGCTGGAGTTATGATCTTTCTGAGAGAAATGTGATCTTTTTGATGGTCAAGTATGTAACGGTTCAATACTATTATCTGAAACTCTAAACCGTCGTTTTCTTCGCTATTAATACGGTCGAGGGACAACTTTTCAGCTTCCGTCTGATATTAATTAAGATACCCAAACCTTAACTAGCTTCCACACTGTCTTAAATACGTTACTCGAAACCTAATGTAATTAAGTTGTTCTCGAAGTTTATTTATCTTTGGGGGTTTGTGTTTGTGCTCCCTTGTGTGCCACCGGCACGTCAACATCAAGCTTCATACACTAGAAGTTAAAAAAAAAAAACGGTGAAAACTTTTCGTTACTATCCGTTTCTCTTCATTTTTATTCTCTGGCTTGGCATGCAATACAATTAGTTTTTCATTTTTTAACTGAACATTTACCATATTTTCAGATCTCAAAAAGCGTTATGATAATTAATTTCCAAATGCTAGATCCGAGTTGACATTAAAATGCACTGTTTTGCTCTACCCCGACTCTACAAAGTATTATAATGACTTTTACGTCATGAAATCTTGTAGATTAGCGACAATTATTCTACGACCAAAAGCACTAACATATTGTCTGATACCTGAACAGTTTTGCTATGAACAGTAATATGAATGATGTTGTAGCGGTGCACGACGAGGTGGACCACACTGCCGTGGGCGCGGCCGTGCACACGATCACCAGCAACCTGCCGGAGATGACGCGGGGCGTGCGCATGATCGCCGCTCTGCTCGAGACAGACTCCGAGTCTAACAGCCTCCTGCTGGCCACGCGCAGCCTCTGCAACGCCTTCAGCGACCTCCTCTCGGCCGCTGAGCCTGAAAAGGTAACTCCCACATCAGTCAGTTCGCTGTCTCAACCATTGCAATGTAGTGCTATAATTCAATGCGTAAAGTTCTACTCACTTGATAAGATCAAAAATATCTTCATTCTTAGACTACTGTAAATATTGAGCTTCTCTGTGGTGTTGTTCACATAAATAAGATAAAAAATTTGTTATAGCGACCATTGCGAATGTTGTTCTGTGTTGTGAATCTTTTTACTTTTAAGAATTAATTTGGCTCAATCAGTATGATGCTAATGTTCTGTGGTTGTCCAGGTTGCTGGTCCGCGACCGAACTTGCTTGGTGCTGCTTCTAAAGTGGGTGAGGCGAGCAGCGCTGTACTCAACACCATAGAGACCGGCCACCACCACCAGAGTCAGGACCTCCTCTTGGGCCTGGCCAAGGCGGTCGCCAACACGACCGCTGCACTCATCTTGCGTGCCAAGACTGTGGCCGCTCGCTGCCCTGACGAACAAAAGCAGAACCGCGTGATTACAGCGGCCACAGCTTGCGCCTTGGCCACCTCGCAGCTCGTCGCGTGCGCCAAGGTTGTCGCCCCCACACTCGACAACCCGGCGTGCAAGGAGCAAGTCACTGCCGCATGCAGGGAGGTTGGACGCGCTATGCAAGAGCTCTTGGCTGCCTGCCAAGATGCCAACAACGATCCCGACCTTCAAGACAGTATCATGAATGCCGCCCAGGACGTGGAGACAGCACTAGGACAGCTTCAGGACCACGTGAGGACTGCTGGCCAGGCCGAGGTGACGCAGCACGACGAGGCCCTAGACATCATCCTGACGTCGAGTGACAAGCTCATCGCCAGCCACGGCAACGCTGCTGAGATGGTCAGGCAGGCCAAGATCCTCGCCTCCGCTACCACCACGCTCATACAGTACATTAAACAGCAGGTATGCAATGTATAGAAAATAACACGTGCATACAGTACAGTATATCAAATTATAGATACATCCGGTACTTCAAATCGCTATCCATGTGTGGTCATACCTACCTGCTGTCTAACAATGTAAGGAACAGTAGTTCCTTTCAGGGACTACTGTTACAGTAGCAACTTCTGGAAAAAGTAAATCAAATTAATATATCTGTTCAGGCGAACGATTCAGCCGATGATGACCTGCACCACCGCTTCCTGGCCGCCGCCCGCCAGCTCGCCGACGCCACCACGCGACTCGTGGAAGCCGCCAAGACCTGCGCCGCTTCGCCCAATGATCCTCAGAGCCAGAAGGTCAGACTAGTGTAGTTTCTTAGTTGAGTCTATCAGTTAAAGATGTTTGCTGATGAAATTATAGCTAATTTTTCAAAATTTTACTCGAATTTATCACGTTGGTACTCGATACAGGCGCTGCTGGATGCCGCAGATGCAGTCCGCCGCACCACCAACTCTGCGGCTTCTAACGCCCTCAAGAAGAAGATCATAAAGCGCCTGGAGAGCGCTGGCAAGCATGCAGCTGCTGCAGCCACGCAATGTATGGCCGCCTCACAGGGCGCTGGCCCTTACAACACCAGCATGGCTTCACAGAAAGCCCTCATAACTGACTGCAGGTGATTGAAGGTCTTTGTTGCTGCCTTATGGCACTGAAACTGAAATGTGGTATGCCTTTCACTGGTGGTATGAATGGGGTCTTGAATGATTTTCACTTTAATTTTTAACTTCACATAAAATGGTAATTGCCTGGTATAAAATTAATTAGCTGTGATTTGCAATTGTTGCCACACATCAAAAACCTGATTCTAGAGGCTCACCGTTTAATTTAGAGAGTCGACCTATATAACTTGATTATAATTTTTGCCCTAATTAAAATAAAATACAACTACTACAAATTAGCGGCCAAAATGCAGTATTGTTGTACTTTTGACCTGCAAGTGGTGCTCGATCACAAGAAGGTTGAGAAATACTGTATTATATTAGCTGTCTGGCACAACTGTAAGGTAGGGTATGCGATTTTGAAAAGTAGAAATTTTTGGTTTAGTTTTAGTTGATGAAGTTTGGAACGGTACTTGAAGCAGACGTGACTTTAAGTATAGTCTAGACTCTGAAAAACTGCAGTGATATCGATTGTTGGACAGATTACCAACGTCCTCTTGACATTTTCTTTCGAGTCAAGCGGTTACATAAATCTTTGCACAGGGACACCGCGGACGTGATCCCTCGTCTTGTGGAGGCTGTGAAAGGCACGATCCACAACAGCGACGACGTGCACTGCCAGCAGTCTCTTCTCATTGCCTGCAATGCCTTCCTCACACCTGCCACCAAGATGGCAAGCTCAGTAAAGGCGGCCTTACCAACGGTCGATGACCCAGCCACCAATTTACAGCTGTCCAACTGCAACCGCCAGTTTGTGTCGGCTTTATCGGAGCTGCGCAGTGCCTTGTGCAAGGCGGAGGAGGCATGTGGGTCCGGTGAGCTCGAGAACGCTATGCACATCTGCACAGAGTTGGACCAGCAGCTTCAGGGTTTGCAGCAGGTCCCTGCTAACCAACCCTTGCCTGGAGAGACTCTTCAACAGGCCATGAGCGACGTTACCAACCTAACCAAGACTGTGGGTGCTGGTTTAGCTCAGCTACTGACTGCCGCGTCGCAGAATAATCAAGAAGACTGCGGTAAGGCAGCTCGAGACACGGCTTCAGCTCTGCAGAAACTTACCAACTCAGCTCGCGCCGTTCAGGCCACCACTGGCGAACCTCAGGAGTCACTCATCTCTGCATGCAGAACTGTCATGCAACGATGCCACAGTCTGCTCGCTGAGACGCACCAACTCATGTCTTCGGGCGCACCGCCCGGATCTTCTGTAAGCCAAAGCCTAACGACGAGTGCTCGCAACGTGAGCCAGGCGCTGAACTCGACAGTGGGTGCGCTGCCCAGTAACCAGGCTGTTGACGAGGCCGTCGTAAGCATCGAGCGCTATACCAGCAGCCTCGAGGTGCGCCTCCAACAGACAACCTCGACCAAATCGTACGCAGTCCTGCAAGAAGAGCTCACCCAGGCAGCCCACCGTTTGGAGGCAGCCAGCGCTGATGTCGTCACTGCAGCCAAGTCGGCACCGCATCAGCTCGCTCCTGCGTCTAAGGGTGCGTTACAGCTCTGGTTAAAAATATTTTAACATTAGCTATTAATAATTGACGTCTTTGTGGAAAATTATAATCATTTATTTTTTGGCTCTTCTTTAATTTGCGTTACAGTGCTTGTGTTTTGACTTGCTATTTGAAGGGTTTAAATAAGCAACGTGATATAGATTTTTTTGTGTTTTTAGGCATGTCCAACGCCTTGGGTGAAGTCATGGGTGCTGGATTGGGTGTTGCATCTACGCAGACTCAAGAAGTTCGTGGCAACATCGTCATCTCTCTTAAGACCGTCAGTACCGCTTCATCCAAGTTGTTGACGACCGCCAAGAGCGCTGCGTCTGATTCGAGTAGCAACAAGACCGCCCTTCAGCAAGCCGCTCGTTCACTCACTGACGCCATCAACGGACTCATCGACGTGTGCACGGCAGCAGCGCCGGGACAAAACGAGTGCGACAGCGCCATCAGGGCCATTCAGGCCACCAAAAGCCTTCTGCAGAGTCCCAGTGAACCTGTGTCAAACGCTTCTTACTATGAGTGTCTCGAATCTGTGATGGAACGAAGCAAGAGTTTGGGAGACGCTATGACTGGCATCGCCAATACTGCCAAAAATCTCCAACATGAAAACTTCAGTCATTCGGTGAAGGAAGCCAGTTCAGCAATCTGCGGGCTTGTCGAGGCTGCTGCTCAGGCCGCGTATCTTGTTGCTATCTCAGACCCCAACAGTGTGCTTGGAAGACCTGGTCTTGTAGACCAGGCTGCATTCGCGCGGGCCTACGAAGAGATTCTTCGCGCCTGCCAGATACTGCGCAATGAGCGCAGTGAGCAGCAGCAGGTGCTGTCTGCCGCCACCACCATCGCTAAACATACCTCAGCGCTCTGCAACGCCTGCAGGACTGCTTCTACCAGCACCTCGAACCCTGTCGTCAAACGGCATTTCGTACAGAGCGCCAAGGATGTAGCAAACGCTACCGCCAGTCTTGTCAAAGAAATTAAAGGTATTTAATTTATGCTACTAAGATCTTTGTTTGCGCCTTATATGAACCGGCTTAATATTGTTATTTACATTTCATCGAGTCGAAACTTTTAATGTATGCTTCTATACCATATTTGTATCTGTAATCAAATTAATGAATGTATTATTCAGCTTTGGACCAGGACTACTCCCCGAGCAACAGAGCTCGCTGCAGCCAGGCCACGTACCCGATGTTGGAAGCTGTCGAGAACCTTTACGCGTTCGCCAACTCGCCCGACTACGCCGCTGTGCCTGCCAAGATCTCGCCCAAAGCTCGTCACGCCCAGGCGCCCATCACCGATGCTGGTGTGTTAATTATTTAGTTCCCTTGCTAAATTACCGTTACAACTGTAACAAGGCAAGACATGACCTTTTAATATCCTTGTTTGTAGTTGAGAATGTAGATTGTTATCTTGAATGTTGAGTTCTGTACTGACACATAATTTTCTCGCATTGACTTATCATTAGATTGCTGACATATCATTAGATAGCTGTAGTCTGTAACATGACGTGCATTGCAGGGTATGACATCATTGACGGCGCGTGCTCCATGATCACGTCCGCTAAAAGCCTCGCCGTGAACCCCAAGGACCCGCCCGCATGGCAGGATCTTGCCACCCACAGCAAGAAAGTTTCTGACAGCATCAAAAGTCTCGTGGGATCCATCAAGTAAGATATGGGATATTTTTATTTAGTATAATCTTGTAATTATAATTCAAAAGCGCTCTAAACTACAAGCCTCTTCTCATACTTAAGAACAAAAATTTTATCACAATTCTAGATATTAATTTCATGAAGGATATATTTCATTCATAATATACGTTATTTTTATTGATGTACTCATTCTTCAGGGACAAGGCACCTGGTATTAAAGAATGCGACGACTCCATCGATAAACTCAACTTGAACATCCGAAACTTGGACCAGACTTCGCTTTATGTACTCGACCAAAACTTGCGCCCCAGGAACGATGGTAACTTGCAGAGCTTCAACGAGCAGGTGGAGAACGCTGGGCGCGCTCTCCTCGAGAATATTGACAAGGTTCGCCAAGCGGGCAAGACCGAAGCTGAGAAACTTAGCCATGCCGTTATCCAGATGACGAGTTATATAGACCCTATGGTGAACGCTGCCATCGGGTCTGCATCACACATGATGAGCAGCAAGATGCAGATGAGCATGCTGGACCAGACCAAGACCGTGTGTGAGTGTGGTCTGCAGCTCTTGTACAGCTGCAAGGAGTCAGGAGGGAATACACGCGCTTCGCATTCTCATACTGACCTTGACGATGCTGCTGATACCATGAAAGAAACTCTCCAGGAGCTGCTGTCAACAGTGGAAAGCATTGCTACTGAAGCAGGTGTTGTGTCGGGACTCATTGAGTCTATTACAACATCAATGAATCGGATGGGAGACAGATCTGCAGTATCACAGGTTGATGAAAGTTATTCCTTTGTTGACTATCAAACCAGCATGGTGGCTGCCGCGAAGGAAATTGCTCGATTGTCTCAAGAGATGGTTTCTAAGATCTCAGTTGACCCTAGCCAACTTGGTCAGCTTGGTGCAAGTGTCGCCCATCAGTTCAATAAACTTGCTGGTGAGACAGCCGGGGCTGTCTACTTATCTTCAACTCCTGACGTTGCGACGCGGCTCCGTGCGAGCGTGCATGAACTCGGGCAATCCTGCATCACTCTCATCGCTAATGGCGGGGCATGTCAGAGTGCGCCTCAGGACACGTACTGCCAGCGAGATCTGGCGGAGGCAGCGCGACACACGAGTGAGAAGGTTGTTCATGTTCTGGCAGCGTTGCAGGCTGGCTCTCAGGGCACCCAGGCATGCATTAATGCCGCCTCCACCGTCTCCGGCATCATAGGGGACTTGGACACAACCATAATGTTCGCCACAGCCGGTACACTCAATGCAGAGAATGATGATGACTGTTTCTCCGACCATCGTGAGAATATATTGAAGACAGCCAAGGCTCTTGTGGAGGACACCAAGACGCTGGTGGCAGGAGCTGCATCATCTCAGGAGCAGCTTGCAGTGGCTGCTCAGAATGCTGTGTCCACAATCGTTCAGCTCGCCGAGACCGTCAAAAACGGGGCGGCTTCTCTCGGCGCCAACAATCCTGACGCTCAGGTAATACGAAGCAAAAAATCGTAAACTCGTAGGAAATATTTTTGCAACTTGTAAATATGTTACCTCTATTTGTAAGGTAGTATTCTAGTTTTCGATTATGTAAATTAGGATCTGTAAATTCGAATGATTACTACCAAAAACTATCACTTGTACCTGAGTACTGCTTTACTAATGCGATAACTTATGCTCCTGCTGCAGGTGATGTTGGTGAACGCTGTTAAAGACGTCGCCATGGCCCTGGGGGACCTGATCCATGCGACCAAAGCCGCCTCCGGCAAGTCCATCAACGACCCCGCCATGACCTGCCTCAAGGAGTCGGCCAAGGTAGGCCCTGATCACCTGCCGCTGCAGCAGCTAATATAGACTCGGCCAGCTCCTCTTATCACTCCCTCACATGCCCATAGATACCGCGAGTGACGCCAGTAACGTTGCAGTAGTTACCGCGAGTGACGCCAGTAACGTTGCAGTAGTTACCGCGAGTGACGCCAGTAACGTTGCAGTAGTTACCATGAGTTACTCTTGTTGCTGAAAATGAGAATGGTTACTGCGAGTGACGTTTAGGGGCTAACAGCTAACGCAGAGGATTTTCTGATTTTACTTGTATACGAAATCAAGTTATTTTTCACATGATTTCTGCAAAATATTTTACTTGAACCCCAATTTTTGTATTGCGTGCAGTTACATTTTGGTCTCAGTAGGAGATAAGTTTGTGTTTGTACTTCTTTATTTCTCTGGGCGGAGTATAATTTTTTATACTTTGATAAATCAAAAGATTCTGTTATAAATTTTGTACGAGTTTTAAGCTTGGTTGACCGTTTGATATCGTTAAAATTGAATGACACTTGCAGTACTTCAAGTCTTTGTTTGAATTCATTAATTTTAAAGTTACTGCTTGCTTATCAAAAGATTTTGGCAGCGCTTCGTGATGTGATTTTTTATTCCCGAAGCAAAATGTATGATTTTTCTAGATTTTGCTATCCCATTTTTCATTTTATTTTTCTATTTCTGCTTGTATTTCTGGCTGCTGCTGCCGCCACAATTAAGGATATTGTTTGGTGCCTCCCTAGCGCTGTGCCGCCGCTGCTTCTGCTCCCATATACTGTGCCCATGTAAACTGTTCCCACGTACCACGTATACTGTGCCCTCGTAGCACGTATACTGTCCTGCATGCGTCCTCAGGCTATAAGCAAAACTAATGTTGTCATCCGAACCGAACGCTGACATCCTCATCGCCCCGTAGCACCCAGTCAATAAACACTCCAGAAGACCGTGTAACGCAAACGAAAGTTTTAAACCAATGACCTAGTCTGGGGAAGCTACGGTGCATCCAATACTTCCTTCAAATTTTTGAACAAACCCAATGACTGTTTTCCATACTTGATCATTCTACTTGCCGCATTTAATATTAATGGTGCATTCTAGCTTCCTTATTTCAACGCTCATGATGTGTGAGTGCTCTAAGTTGTTCATTAGACGTGTTGGTGTTGTGTTGTTAGAGTGGCCACTAACCCGTTGCGTGGGGAGAGGGAGGGGCATGTGACCATGCGTGGGCAGGTTGCGTACAATCAATTCTATGCCTCAGTTGCTGCTGATCTTCATCTCGTATAATCTTATCAACATATTAGAGCAAGCGAACAATGCATTGATAGCTATGGTTTCCGAGAAAGGCTCTCTCAAGGTATTTACATTCACGCCGCATGCTTTAGGCTCCATTCTGCGAAGCGCTTGTATGACTTTGACCACACAATTTTTTGTTTATCGCTCTTTTCTACTTATTCCTTGAAAAGATATTTTTTATCAGGTTGCCTCTCAAACTGAGATATGTAAACCTCGTCATATTTCCAAATTTGAAAAGTAATTGCTTTAGCATCTTGCAACGATTTCTGGAAAAAAATTCTATTCCGCGCCGTACTCATAAGGTTGGAATAAGGTGCAGCATTCCGTTTTCTTATTCTATGCATCTCCATGCTTCATACTTGTTTTTCTCCTTCTGGATCGGCCACCGCATCAAAGGACATGCGGCGAACAAATATTTTAAGCAAATATGGAATTAAATTCGCGAAATGCAATTCGAAACACTGGATATGCAGCTTTTATTTGTCGCCTACAGGAGTTTATTCAGCGGCCATTCTCTATTGGCTATTTCATCGTGTAGCAACTTCTCATCTTGGGTGTAGCGATTCATTTATCATATAATCATAGGCTCTCTCATTTTTCTTCCTCAATTAGTCTGTAAAATCGACCCATTCACCTAACTTCTTTGATTTCCTGAAACATACTCGTCTAAGGTTTAAGAGGTTTATAACTTCCTTCTAGTTTCTCACTTAGAAAATATTCAATATATCTTCATTGTGGCCCATTTTCTTTCTTCTTTACGCTTCCTTTGGGTAACGTTTCTATTCATAAGACAATGGGACTACCATTCCTATTAATGATTTGCGAAGCTTAAGTTATGGCAATTATCACTGTTTAAATTACCCTCTCTCAATAATTACCTTAAGCATTCAAGAACTACCCGACATTGCCATTACACCTGCCGTGTACAAAATGTGAAGGTCTTAGGTTGATGGTACCGCAACCTGCGCACGCGCGCCTCTGTCACCCTCCTCTACCGTCGCTGCGGGCAGGGCCGTGTTTATGCTTCTGCTCCTGATCTTGTGTGGTTTCCTTGAAGAATTGCTTATTCATATTCACTCAGAGGAGATGGATTATTGTACTCCCTATTACATATCCTGTATTATAAGTTGAAGATGTGCCTGTTATAGGTTACCATTTTTTGTAAATATTCAATTTAGCGCAAGTCTCAAAAGGAAGAACTACTTGATCGTTATTTGTCAATTGGGACTGATTAAATTTAACTTCGCTTTCAATTATTTAGTTCATGTTAGCTATCAGTTTTTACTCATCGCCGCTGCTTAATATTAAATTATTCGCCTACATCCCCGTTAAAATTGTTATTTTGGCCGATGAATGTATAGGATTAAATGTTATAGGATGAAATTCTTCTATCAAACTATTCCTCAAACTTGGAATATTTACACTTTGAAAAGACGGGGCCTTATGCCATGGTAAGAGTTGACGTCTGTAAATCCAACTTGTTGATCTAGTTGTTCTGCCTTAATATGCTTTAATTGGAGCCAGTGAGTTATAACCGATCACCAACGCTTCTCATTCATATATTGTGCCAAATCTCAAGATCATCAATGTTCGATATATTGCGTATTGTAGTTGAAAAAAATTCACGGTAGTGTAAAATCCTTCAATATCTTGGAGATTATTGTGCATTATGTCGTAAATTCTATGCTGTTTAGAGAATTAGTCTGGAGCAGTTATTCCAACTGCTCAGTGTTTCTGTGCCTTCTGGGGTGCTAGGACGACACTGCTACCGTCGTTCCTGATGCAGTATCTTCAACTTCCGTTGACGTCCCCAACGGACCTGCAGTTCTTGAGGGAGGCTGTGTTAGTGACAGTGGCACAAGCTGTGTCGTTATGGACAGCTCAGGGGGTGTTAGTGACAGCGCTGCTAGTGCTCCTGGTGGCACTGCAGGGCAAGGGGAGAGCGACAGAGAATGGCTAGTGTCTGACCAGGAAGAAGAGCTCGTCCGACTTCTGAGCGTCGAGCATCTGCCTGACTTGCAACATCCGCGATCTGACATCCGCTTAGGCGGCGGTGACTCAGGCTCCGAAGTGTAGTTGCGTGCAGACGTTCTCTAGGGCCGTATATATACGGGCTGCTAATACAACACTGCCGCACACTATACTATTGCTGTTTGATTTCGCCTGGAAGCTGAAATATGTTAAGATTCCCTAACAAAGGAATGGCGTAGATGGATGTTCCCAAAATATCCGTCAATTATTCTTGAAAAATTATAATTTATGGAACGATCTTGTATTGTGCTTTGATATCTGGTTAGTGTGGCGGAGAGTTGGCGTATTGTTCGTGAAAATCTTTTATGTATTTTTATCTGTTCTACGATGCCCTTATTTGCGAATATGAATAAAGAAAAACAAGCGAAAGGAAGAAACTAGCTCTGCGTCAATCTTTTTCCTAATTTAGCTCTTACTTCTAAAAGTCTTTCGTGATCAAAAATATTGTTTAGAAACACAGTCTAATATCACCCCTATCAGGACATTTTGTGTTGCTCACGTTTTACCGTCGAAGTTTTACTGTTGTAGTTATTCAGCTTAGTTAACTTTGTGGGCATTGATCTAGTCGGTGTATAATTTGACCCACGTTACTTAGGAATAGGTTTTATTAAGATGAAATTGATTGATTGTTCCGACTGTCGTCTGTGTATCATCAGTGTGGACTATTACAATTTTCTTCGAGCTGTCTTCATACTTTTTTATTCCAAGTTTAAAATATTGCACTATGATTGTATTGATTCGCTTTCATTAGTGCTTTATTAAGGGAATCGATTGCAAGATGTTATTGCATTTCGTTAAATGCATTCAATTGAAGCTGCTTAAATAATCCTCAATCTTTGAAGTCTTCCAGTTTTGTATATTTTCTCGACCAATTTTCTCGACTCCAAAGTCAGTCCGTGTCATAAAAATGAATTTTACTGGGATGCAATATTGCGTTGCGTTCGCAATATAAACTGCTGCTTGAAACTGTACATCATTCTATTCGCTTACAATGAAATCCGAATTTACATCGATTGCTATCTAGAGAAGCCTTGGTCTCTACTGAACGCCTGGCACACGCCGCTGCCGCGTGTAGAGCGTATACCTTGAGAGAGTCTGTGCTCAGGTGAGCTGAGGAGTGTTGTGTTAGCCCACGTGCGTGTGAATGTTTTCTAACAGCATTAACGTGTTATTAATACGTCGTGTTGTTCTTAGCGAAGTCGTTAGAGAAGTTGTACTGAAACTAAGCCATATCTCATGCACACCTTCTGAAGCCTTCAGTGACGCAGTCCATATACTGTACCGTGTCTTCATTCATCTTTCTTTATATGTTTTAATGTTTCATCTGTTGATGGAGTCTCGAGTACGAAAATAAGGTTATTTGTGAACAGTTACTGCAACAATTAATTCCTGTTACGCCACTGCAGTAGCTGCCATTTTGTTGTAAATTACGTAAAATAACATAACATATAGAGCTCATACAAACAAAAAATAAATGTGCATTTGAATGCAAACAAATAATGCGATGCGTTCGCCATTTAAATTGCTGCATCAATCGTACATCTTGCTATTCAATTTAATCGAAATCCAAAGTACTTCTTCACTGATTGATTTAATAACCGGATAAATTAATTCGTCACCAATAGAAATCTGAATTAACTAAGGTCAAATGTTAGTACGATGGTTAACTTAAGTTGATCGCATCATTCCTGGACGTAAGGCAAAAGCATACGTGTTCTTGTATTTTCAGCCGTGCCTGAACTGATGTTGCCGAGCTTTTTTCATCGATCTAACATTTAATGATTTGTGTTATTAGTGATAGTAGAGCAGAAACCTATATTATAACAATATTTCTCGTAAATAATGCTGGCTGTTTGTGCTATTGTTCTTTTCTCTTATTTTCTTTTCTTATGCATTCTTTGGAATAATTTTATCTGTTTTTTTTTTGTTCTGTGTACACTTGATTCAAATTAAGACGCGTGTTTTATCTTTGTGGTTTTAGTTGTTCTCTCATCTTGTTCTTCTGTTTATGTAAATCTTATGATGGTATATTCATAGCAATTTCGATTATATTACAGGATTAACGTTATTATATTAGTTTGCACCATATAATGATATTGTGATTACATTAATACGGTGTTCAGGTAATGGTGACCAACGTCACGTCGCTCCTGAAGACGGTTAAGAGCGTCGAGGACGAGCACACTCGAGGCACGCGTGCTCTCGAGGCCACGGTTGAAGCCATCGCACAGGAGATCAGGGTGCGGGAATTAAAGCTCACTATCTAGAATAATTTATTCGTCTACGCACGGTAACTCGAATTATATAATATAAAGATTTTGTCTATTAATATATCCGTAGATGAAGGAGTAAGTCGTTAGCGAATTTGGTCCAACAAAATAGAACACCGTTGTGTTAGTTGGGATGAACCCTAAGGAAAATTATTTACCATCCAATGTATATATTACTCAAGTGCGTGATTTTTACTAAACGTGCGTTTTTTTTATAAATGTGATGTCTGTGGTATGGTTGCAATTCAAAGGAAAATTTATCTTTTATTATTATGTTGCTTCAGGCGTTCGACTCGAGTGAAGCGCCCAAGACCCGGGCGTCGCCTGAGGAGCTCGTTAAAGCCTCAAAGCCCATCACGCAAGCGACGGCTAAGGCGGTGGGCGCTGGTAACAGTGGCAAGCAAGAAGACATTATTGTTGCCGCCAACATGGGCAGGAAGGCCATCTCTGACATGCTCACCACCGTCAAGGTGAACCCCATCAATTTATTCATTTGAATGTCCGGCTTTGTTTCGGGACGTATGCTGGATACTTCCTTGTGTCCGGTTAATTTTGCACATCCGTTTTTTTTGTCAATCGCTGCTTGCATCTAATTTTATTGAAGGTTTCTAGGCAGTTATAAATTCTCAAACTTTCTCTTTCGGAACATCAGCACGTTATAGTCATTCCTTTCTTTTGTCTTGATTTCCTCTTCCTTCGAGCTGAAGACCATTTCTCTATGAATTCTGACTCCTCTGCATTTCAAGGCTTATTAAACGCTTAATTTTAATTAAAGTTTAGACGAATTGACATTTTACTACGTGTCTAGCCTCTGATTATGTTTGCTGCGTTTGATGCTTTTCATGACACATGATAGTTCATCATTTTAACTAAGATATAGAGTGACACCAAGGCATCCCAGATTCCTTCTAACCCGTTGACATCTTGGCAGGCTGCGGCGTGGGCCGCTGAGTCACACGAGGTGCGTCGTCGTGTGCTGCTGTCGGGGCACGACACGGCCGTGCAGTACCGTGAGCTGCTGCAGCTGCTGCTGCACAACACGCACAAGCCTACTACTGACTCTAAGCAGGCTCTCTCCGCGGCGTCCAGGAAAATTGCCACCTGCGTCACGGATCTCGTTGCTTCTGCCGAGTCCTTGAAAGGTAACTTAATGCCTGCCTAGTCTAAGTGATGTCGAAATATTCCATAGCTTAGCTTGTTCCTGCCAACGAAAGAGAGTCCGAGCTGGCTTGAGCTCTAACTTCATTTTTCTCTGCCTTGATCTTGATCGTCATCGTTGATGTAATAAGTTCTCGAAAAAATGAAAAGAATATTCATAAAATATTACTTAAAAAATTTCCATGTCAGTTATGAGTCGTGTAAGTGTTCTATAAAGCCCCCGAGCGCAATTTAAGCTGAACTTCAAGGGAATTTTGGTTTGAACCTCCATGCTGTTTCAATCATACGATCGTAAATAAAAATTAATTGAACTTCCCGAAAATCCATCGAGCATCGAGGTAAGTTAAAGAAAATTTGTACACTCATTAATAATGATTTTTGCGTTTAACTCGTCTGTTGTTAATTTTTCGCAAAGTCTAACCTCCATCCTGAAATTACTCCATTTATTGTTGAGAAAACAAAACTTCTTCGTTCAATAAAATCCTTCTCCATTCAATAAATTATTAACTTTTTTAAAGGCGTGTGGGTTTGACGGTAATACTCACCATGTAAATATAGTGCGTGTTTACAAATTTGGCACTTGGTTCTTTATCATACAGTTGGCTTTCTCTCCGGCATTCGGTCCTTAGTTAGTTCAAATCATAAACACTAGAGCCTGCTTTATTTCCCGTGTGTATTTCAGTCATCCGCTTCACATTTCATTTCATCAGTGCGATGAATCATTTTTCGAATCACTTTAAGAATCTATTGATTCAGTTAAGCCGTAAGCGGGCCAATCATATTATTTTTAATTGTTTCGTTCTTATTCTAAATTATGTTCACCGGCTCTAGGATGGTAGCTTTTGTTTATCGCAGATGATTATATGGAGGTTTTGGCATTTAATGTTGACCCACCTCTCACGGAACATGGTTTTAGGTGTAAATTTTTGCTCTCGAAAATGCCGCGATCTCATTTAGTTTTGAGTAAAAACGCATTGTTTGTTGAAAAAAAACATGTAATCAATAATGGTAGTTCTTTTAATCTCCATTTTAGAAAATAATGTAGCACGTAAAGGGTTTTTGATCATTATTATAGCGTTATTTTCAGCTTTAAAACTGAGTCATTACAATCTATTAATCTGAAAATCACGTACATAAATTGAACAAAGTTCAAATGCTTGGGGACCAGGATTTCTTATCGAATGAGTGAGATTGGGATTCTTAGTCATCTTCAAACATATCAAAGATGGCATTTATGGCAGTGGCAGACGGATGGTGAATGTGCTTTCAAGCGGGGAGGTTTGTATTGATCATTATTTGATTATAATTATGAAGCCAAATTTTTAGCTATCTCACCCCTTTTTCTGTACTTAATGCGTCTCATCGAGTGATTCACCTGCTTCCTTGATTATATTCGTTTCATTGAATCCTCCTCGTGTTTCAAACCATCTCCATATTAAACTTAATCTGAATTTGTGCTCGCAGCACCTGACGCTGAGAGGAAACGGATCGGTAATAAATATCCTTTAAACCATGTCGAACTCCAACATTTTTGAAAGCATTTAACGTCTGTTTTCACGATGCGGGATGGAATGAATATTTTGCCGAGCTTGTTCGATATCCAAGATATTTCTGACCGTTTTCTCTCAGTGTTCTCTGGCTAGTTTATACGACGCTGTACTTAGCCTTTAGTATTGCCGTGTGTATAGTTTGTGCGTGTTCTTGACAGCAGGGTTTGGGTGGCAGCAGGTGGAAGAGTCCGCCTCAGCTGGTGAGTGTTTTCGTGGCCGAAAACTACACGTGCATGAGCAACTTTCTTCTAGTTCAGTGCGCCGAAATCGAACTTATTTCGCGGGCTAAGCCCGCGAAATTGAACAAGAAAGCTTAATGTTACAACCCGCCTTCGCGCCGAAGGTGAGGTTTTCTTTTCGGTTAAGTCAGGTAAAACCCAAGGTAGGCACTTTTGGCTCAGAACTCGTGATTTACTATTCGCGGGCACGTATTTGTTATATATTAGTGTATTGTTTAAAGTAAATTTGATTGTTGTGTGTTTGTTAATGTATTGTATATGTATATGTATTGTATATGTATTGTATATGTTTTATTGGTTGTACATCGTAGATTAGTAATGATTGGGGGTTAGTTCGGTAATCTGGTTTTCCCCTTTATGTTGACCCTTATTGTTTGATTGCACTCACAGTTATTTGATTCCAGCAAGTTAGCAACATAAAAATCCAGAAATTTATAGGTGGGCGTAGCAAGACTGAAAAAACTCTTACGATTCCTTGCTGCATCTTGAATGTAAACGAAATTTGTTGCCTTCGTTTGCGTTTAATTTTTTTATTGAGGTAAAAATTAGAGGAATTAATTTATTTTAAATCTCATTTTTCTATTTATTCACATCCTAAGATCGAACAAACAGCTGGGGATCTTTAGAAATTTATTAGAGAACTTTCATCTTTGAATTTAGTGCCTGTGGACAGCATCACATTGGGACTTTGGGAACCAAATTGAAGTGCTCTATGGCCGAATGTTGAAAATAAATTGTAAATACTCATCGAACTCGATTAATTCCTAAGCACCAGTTAAAATTGGTGCCAACACAATGTATTTTACCACTAACAAGTATTTTGTAAAGAGCTAATGATGAAACGGTAGCTCGCAGCTTGGATGAAATTTTGTAATTATTTGCCAATGATTTCGTTGTCGCTCAGAACGTTGCCATGATTTCCGTTACATGCATGAGCGTTTCGGGCTTGTCTGCCATTCTAACTTATGTTTGCTCACAATTTTCCTTTTGCGAAAAAAAATGCTGCTAAATTGATTTTTTTTTGCCTGATGGAGAATAACCCAGCGTTAGGTTCATGATACATTTTGTTCTAATGGTGAGAGTTCACCCTTAATATCATGTTTTTACTTTTTTACAGCAATTACATCGCTGAGCCTGCGAACAAGAAGTTAGATCAATTGAGTTGATGGTGAACTGCTACTAATTATTACGTGCAGCGAAAACGCCGCGGTTTTATGCCCGGACATTTTTTTGTGTGTTCCGTGTTAATTTTGCTTTCACGTTACGCATGAAACTTTGGTGTTGATGTTAAGTTAATTTGCGTGTCTCTACAGTTTCACAATTTCTAACGGATGTTTATTAATTAACTTGATGCTTGTCTTTTAGCCGTATTGTAGACGCTTTATTTGCTCACATAAATAGATTCTGGCTGCGAATTATATTGATTTAACTTTTTGTTTCTGCTGTTGCATCAATGTTTTTCAGGAATGTGTATTTTTATCATGTGTGTATTCAGTGAAAGTCGATTCAGTAGGATTTTTTGGTTCTGCTGATTACAAAGCTAACACTGATATGTAAAATTGTCTAGTACTTTCAGCATCGGGAAGAAGATCATCCTGGAAATGTATTTTCATCACGAACCTTGTCTTGCCTCGTATTTGCTCAATGCATATTGCCACTATTCGAGAAGTGCCTCCAGCAAAACCACATTGTGTATAATGTAATCTTAATATGCTACTGATTTAAAATCAGTACATCAACCTATTTCATAAGGAAAGTCTGAATTGCCGTTCTAAGAAACCGCATACTTAACTTTTATTGATGTTTCACATATATTGTAATCTTAAATTATTTAATTTTTGTATTATTATCATTCGTATGACCGAAGTCCTCCCCCACGTGCAGGCGATGACTGGGAAGATCCTGAAGATCCTACCGTGATCGCTGAGAACGAACTCCTGGGCGCCGCGAGCTCCATCGACGCCGCTGCCAACAAACTCCTGCAGCTGCGCCCTCGTCGCACGCAGGCCAGGGTGAGTTATGCTATTAATTTATTTGTTAGGAAGCGTTTAATGGCGATGGATGGGCTGAAATAGCGTGGTTTTATGTAAACCACGGTACCAAATTTTATGTAAACCTCGGCGGCACCAAATATGGTGCGGTGTTTTCTTGCACCTTGTTTCAAACTTCACGCATCGTTCAGAAAAATGAAGCACAGACGTCAAGATGGAATGGAAGAGTTATGAACCCTCAGAGCAAACACTTCTCCATGTTGACTGTATCACGAAGAAAGTGCAAGATGCAAGCAGCAGTGGTGGTAAGATATGTTTGATATTCTTGGTTGTTGATTATTTTCGACTAAGGATCGAACATATTATTACCACCCTGCGGCCATTCTTCGCGTGACCACGGTTCGCTTCAAAGGCTCTTCATGCCACGCCAACACCAGGGCTGTGTCCACTGAAGAAATAATGACTTCTTCCGTTCTTCGTCTGACCGCGTCAAAATCCGGACTTCTCATCGTACCACTATCTCAAGATTTGAATCGCTACCACTTCATGAAGAATATGGGCTATCATATCATTTTTCATCATATTATTCCGTATTAACTGCAATGGTTCGAATTGTTTTGCATTAAAAGAAAAAATGTATAAAAATACTGTTTAATTAAATAAGGATATAGATTTACACCTAGCTCTCCATTTGTAAACGAAAATTAGGTGTTAGTATTTCAAATGAGGTTCTCAATGTTGCAGGAAGTGGATGAAAACCTAAACTTCGACGAGATCATCTTGGAGGCGTGCAAGAGCATCGCCGCCGCGACGGGAGCGCTCGTCAAGGCCGCGGGCACCGCACAGCGGGAACTCGTGGACAGCGGCAAGGTCAGGAGGCGACCAACCGCTGCCTCTGACGACGGACAGGTAATCTTGACTGCCACTTAGCACATTTGTTTATATCTTTGTAATATGCAGAATTGTATAATATTATCTTGTTTCCATTCATCTATGTGACAGGACCTTTTTTGGTTCTGTAAGTTTTTTGCAATAAACGAACTAAATCATTGAGATGTAATGAATTTGCTATCGGCCATCGATGTATTTCAATGTGCCGCATCGATTTTGCAACGAATTATGTAATTTTTCTGGACGCAAAATGGTCAATCTAAATCTTTAAACTTAAAAATGGTAACTGTTGAGCACAATTTCACCTATAACTTTTTGGTGATGCTTCCTGATAGTTGAAATGTACAATAATTTCAGTGGTCGGAGGGGCTGGTGTCAGCAGCACGACTTGTCGCTGCTGCGACACACTCGCTGTGCGAAGCTGCCAACGCCCTCGTGCAGGGACACGCCACGGAGGAGAAGCTCATCTCTGCTGCTAAGCAGGTCTCTTGTTGTGTCCACACTGTAGCTAGCAAACGATGTTTATTTCCTTTACCGTCAAATTAATGACAACTCATAATTTATTTTCCCAATGACTACTTTTGTTCTTTCATGGATAGTCATTCTCTTAGTATCTGATGAGACTTGAAAATTTCCTCACATTCAGTGTACAGTTTTATGATTGTATAGAGTCATGCAACGAATATTAACTATCGTGCTACACTCTCAGGTGGCAGGTTCAACGGCACAGCTCCTGGTTGCCTGCAAAGTAAAGGCTGACCCGAACTACGCCTCGACGCAGCGCTTGCAGGCGGCAGGCAACGCCGTCAAGAAGGCAACCGACAACCTCGTACGCGCCGCCCAGCAGGCCATCCAGCACGAGGAGGAGCACACGCTCATTGTTAACAAGCGCCTCGTCGGGGGGCTGGCCCAAGAAATTGACGCTCGCGAACAGGTGAGCTGCCGCTCGCGATGAATGGAGCTGCGGTTGTCAGCCTTCCTCACTTTCATTGGAAAATGACGTCTCTGGTTATGTTGTTGGTCTGAGAAAGTGTATGGTGTGGAGAGGTTAATATCTTATGAAAGCTCTTTTTGTGCTGTAATGTCCCCTCTTATCTGCGCTAATCTCGTAATGTATCATCTTAATTTTTTTTTTTTTTGCAGGTTCTTCGAAGAGAGAAGGAATTGATGGACGCCCGTATGAAACTCGACAAGATCCGGCAAGCCAAGTACCGTGCGGGCGAGAGCGGACAGTCGGACACGGACGGCAACATGTCGGGGTAAGTTAGCTGTGCCTAACTTTTCCTTCGTAATTGATTCATCTTAATTTATTAGTCTCAACGTGTAATTTGTTTGGATTTATATTTCAAAGTTAGAAGAATATATGTTAAATTAAATCTGCTTAACTTGACCGTTCCTGGACAGATTATCCCGAAATATTCTCTGTAGAAACGCATCATTTTACTATGATTGTACGAGTTTTGATACTATGTTACTATGATAGCTACTATGTCCAAATAAAGGGAAAAGGTAAAAAAATGTCAAAATTTATGCCGGTGAAAATTAGGATAGAAAAAACATTAACTATGAAATGAGAATAAAACCATAAGAATAAGCGATGTGTAATTGTACTCGGTTGCGAATACTAAATGGGAAGTGTATTGTTTCCAGTACCCAAATTTTGAACTCTAATTATACGTCATGATTTTTTCAATAATGAAGGACCAACAAAATATTGCTACAAATTTTAAAAAATTCCAATATATCAGACTAATTTTCCATGTGCGATATTGTAACCAGAGCTTGAAGGCAAATAAACGCCCTAGTAAATTCATTATATCTTCATTGAAAACGTACGGGTGAATTAAGTTGATGTGTTTTTCGGTTTTAAATCTTGGTTTACTTTCGATATAAGCAAATTGAATAAATACATATATACATATATGTGTATATGTATATATGTATATGTGCAGCTTTCCGCGTAGCACGCGTTTGCTCAGTCGTTGTTTACGTTTAGGCACTTGGAAGAGGCACTGCCTGTAATGATTGTTGTTCTTATGTCAACTTGCTTTTAATTGACCATGTTCGTGCAGTTACGACAGTCCACATGAGACATCTGGCATGCAGCGGACTGTTTACTCGAGCTCCATCCATCACAACGTATCGAACAGCACAAATGGCAGCGCCAACACCAGCGTGAATTACCATCTGACGAGCCCGATGAAAAACCTCTCCCTGAATGACTCGCGGGGCAGTGTAACTAACGTAACTACTCGCACCTACAAAACCGCATTCACTTCCAATCAAAGTGAGCCAGAGACGTCTGAGGTTGAAGATGGACCGAGCTTCCGTGAGGCACTAAAGGCCTTCCAGAGTAAGTCGAACTCGAACTCAGCGAACCAAAGCCCTAACACTTCTCGTAGTGCCGTGAGACTAAACAACAGCAGCAACCCTGAGACCATCCTGCAGACTGCTACTAACAGGATAGAGAGGTCTGTCGAACACACGTCCACCTCTACTAATCGCTCCTACCACATGCAAGACCGTTAAATCTAATACTAATTTTAAAATGTCTATTATAATCCTTTATATGCTTGTTCAAAATGTGCTTAAAACTGCTTATGCCGTGTAAATGATGCTTTTTTGTTAAGTGAGAATATATATTATTAATATTTCCCATAATTCTATTCTAATATAACGGTTTGCAAAGATAACTTAGATACAGTCGCACAACGTCGTTAGTTTTATTGCGTAATTATCATGTGTTTTTTTTTTCGTTGGAGTGCTCCTCCTTATCAATATTAAAGCATTTATATAGCTTCTCAGCTGAAAAAAATTTCTATTTTGATTCACTTAATTATTATTGACGTTGCATTCTACTCTGATTGGTGCTTATATTGTTAATTGCTATTGCTTCATTAATTACGATGTTCCCCATAGTAATTTGTGTGGTAAACTGTGTAACCATCCGAGTATGTCCTGTAGCTTGTGTGGCTACATCAATGTCTTGGAAATGTTGTTCGTACTGCCGTCGGGCCATGTCGTTCGGTGTTCTGATGTCGTAGCGAAGAGTCGTTATTCGGCTCGAGTTTTCACGTTTAAAACGATTTGAAACTTGGCGTTACCACTTAAAACGTTCAGAGTATTTTAATAATGTTTGCTTGTTCGTATATTTGAACTGTGCACAAAGTAAGTATTAATATTTCCTGTCTAAGTATCAATTTTATCATTGTTAGAATCTTAGATCTTGTACGGCAATCTGGGTCATTCAACGGCCACTGATCATCCGAAAAAATTTCATAGCTTTTCATCAACGTAAGTAGATTTGATTGACTAGATTTGATTGACTATATTTGATTGATTGTAAGTAGATTTCATTGATTGTAGGTTCGCAGAAAATAGTTAGTTGAACATACTCGTGGTATACGATCCGGCGTGGCTGTGTCCATGACACGCTCAAGTTCATGCAATGAACTTAATCCATTGCCTTTATGGTTGTCTTTAATGGACTCGTCTTTGGATGAGTTCGCCTTCATCTTTTATGACGTAGTCTTACTGTAGTAAATATAGTAGATTTATACTGGACAGCGTTGAAGAATCTTGTTCTTCTTTGAAAACTTCATACGCCCAGATTTGTATGCTTTTACCACTAGATTAAATTTTCGCTAATATTTATATTGCATGAAAATTGATTTTTAAACTATATTACGTCAGTCAGTGGTAATCTCATGACTCATGCGATTTTAGAAAATTCATGTTCTAATATGACCTTGTACCTCTGAAATGTATTGCCTTGTATTTAATGTAATGGAAAGTGGTGGCAGTTCCATTATGGTGACAGGCGAGGTAATATGGAAGGCATTTTATCCAAGAATACGATTCTTGACCGAGCTGCTGGTCTTCTTAACTCTTCTAAGTTTGATCCATGAAAAGAACGTTAATTCTACCCACAGGCCTGTCTAGCCGTGCAGCCACTTAGGCACTTCCCTACAGGTATTGCCTTGGTTTATTGTAACATGCAGGTTTGCGTAATACCCTCTATTTCAGTCTCTAACTTAAAGCGTCGTTTCCCCACTAAATAGAAATATCTGCCTCCCACTGTAAGGGAGGCCTTAACAATTCTAGATACCTTGAAAGATTGGAGCTAAGTTGGTCAAATGTTATGCGTCGCAAGATTTATGAATTTATTGTGGATAATTTATAAAGAAAATAATGCTGGTAATAAGTTCTTTTAATGTATTTAGCATTAGACTCGCTAATGGATTTCCTAGAACTAAATTTTAGAAAAAAATTGTCAAAAGTTCATCGTGGAAAACTGTCCAGCTAGTTCAAAAAATGTTCTCCAATATATGTAACCATACTTTTCCGAAATCGTTAATATCTCTAATCAAACTTTTAAGCTTATGATTCGAGTCTGATTTGGAGTCCATTTGATCAGGTTTATTTGAAATTTGTTGAAGAAACGTTTGATCATAATTCAATGCACTAATTATTGACTTTGAATATTCACTAACTAACAGAGTGACTGACTATTCTAAATGTTTCAGAGTTCTCTTACTTATTAATTACTAAATTTATTTCATTGTATTGAACAGCTTGACTCAAATTACTGAATACTAACACAATACTCTTACACAAATATGAGAAGTTCTTCGTTATGAATCGTTGCGGGAACATCTACTCACGTCGGTCACCACGTGCCTTCCTCCGCGGCCTGCCGCACCCCATTTTCCTCAAGAGATATTCTTCGCTATCGAGCGTAGCCGTGCACGAATACCTTTTATTGAAATGCATGGCTTTTCTGCATTAAACTTCTCATCTTTACTTGTACATGACAAAAATAAGGCAAGTGTTCGTTTCATGCTTGATATAAACGTGCCTTCAAGGCCTCTCAGTCGGTCTGGCTGACTGAAGCTCTTCCTGTTCTTGCGAGGTAATTACATATTGATTATCAGAGATCATCTTTTAATGATTGTTATATAGGTAAGAAAAGGTTATTAGCAAATAGAATGCTCGTATTTATGGCACGATTTATTGATTTACAGATTATGTCAGCCAGTGTTTATCGGATATTAAATGGTCTGATACCGCGCAGAATTAAATATTTGTGAAGTCAAATGATGAATCGCAACTAGAAATTATTTGACAGGTTACGTCACGCAGACTTCTGTTGATTTCTATGCTCATTTATTGTAGTTTATCGAGAAAGCAAACCTAGTTTTGTAAGTTTTGTTCTTGATTTATCTCACTAATTGTACGCATATATGCTTTGCCTATTGTATCTCGCCGAATTTCAGTAACAATCCCATCTTGTGTATTTTTCCAATTATCAGCCAAATTTTATCAGTGTTTTTTAAGGTTGAGCGGATGTAATATCATTCATTTTGCTTTGCTTTAACAAGTTGCGTGACGTTTCTGAAATTGGATAGAAGTTTGCAAGGCGAACGATCGCTCTTCAAGATTTGGGTCTCGATCGGTGTTTTTGTTATCAGTCGAATTTCCGAATGTGCCTCAACTTCGACCACCGCGAGAATGAGAACTGTTTTAGCTGCTGTCGCTTCAGGCTGTTTTCTGCTTCAATATTAAATAAAAGTTTCAATTAACTATAGATGTCGCTCCAACATATCACTTACGTGTATAGTTCTTCACTAGTGTAACTTGTACCGAAAGTAACTTAACTTAGCTTGCGTGCACTCGACTACCAGTGAAATATTCGTAAAAACCAATACTAATCACGGGCTCACGCAATTCTGAACAATTTATCGTTGAACCTTTGAAATATATATCTTAACATTCATTGAAGTCGAGTGGATCGCTTGTACTGCCCCACCAGCCTATCCGTCACGCTCGAGGCTATGACCGAGCTTGGTTCATCTTTCGCTCAGTCCGCCCCGTTGTATAGAAATGGATTATGAGAGCCTTAACAATTTGCTTCGTTAAAATATAATGTGCGTGTAACTTGCTCGGCTTTTAATCAACCTTTAATATTTCCTTATAAGCAGTGCGCTTCAAACGTACAAGATGAATATGCAAGACAATATTTATCGACAAAAAATTTGCTAGAATTTTTTTTCAAAAATTGTTGTTCAAATGTTACCTCCGTTGAATTAAATAAAACGTAGCATTAAGGAGGAAGAAATTCATATCAAAGTCTGAGTTTACAATTGTTTTGTTAAGGAACAACCGAATTTTTAGAAAGATATGAACAGTGATGTCGGTTGTAATATAGAAACTGCTAACTTTAGGCGGAAAATGCAAGAATCGAAGAATACAGCTCCACACAAATTTTATAACTGATGAAAAACGCAAGAAATAAAATTGTACTTCACTTTAATTGTTTGTAACCACGGAAGTTCTCTGAAGTGAAGTAACGTTGCTGCCTCCCCTCATCTTAAAAACGGAACATACATGCAAAAATTGCATAGGTATTTTAATAGTAGATCAATTGAAAACCAAAAGATCTGTCTTGTCATTTAACGTTCAATAATTTCTACAAGTACACATGATGCACAAATAGACTACAACACGAATACACACAAAAATTATACGAACAAAATCAACGTCCCTCAAGAAATAGAATGCAAGAAAAATCAAATTCATATATGTCAAGTTTTTATGTTCAAATACAAGAAAGGCAAGACGAATGGAAAAAATTTGCTTAAATGAAGCCAATACAATACGCCAACACCACAAGACAAAGATCAAGATATCAAGAGCGTTGAGTTACCCCATACACTTATACGAGATTGATCATGTACAAAAGCTTGCAAAAGCTGTTACTAGTTATAACCGTTTATAAATAATCGAGATAATTCCAGTATCAACAATGAAGAAGAGTCAGAACAAGTACTTTCAACAACTATCTACAATATACACGAATAAAAGTAGTTAACAAAACCTAGAAAACTCGATGATTAGAGCAATCAAAGCTGATGAATAGCATTCCACCCATTCGACCCAACTCCAACAGGTGTTACATAATTAATTTTCTTGACGACACTTGTACAAATCAATCCATTGCTGGAATTTGTCAAGGAATTCTATAATAAATGTACCTCTCAGCGTGAGCCACTTAGAAATAGAACTCATACTATCCCTTGAATAAAGTAGTCTCCTGTCGAAATTCCAAAAGACTATCAAAAGGTGATACATTTAAAAGTCACATCACAGAAGCAAGCAATCCACTGAGGGCAAGGGAATGGTTAGTCGGGGAATTGAAAAATATGTCAGAAGCACGTGCTACCTGCTTTGCAATTAAATGAGAGGATATCTTATATTTTGCAACACCAAACTGGCCATTCTAATTTTCCGAACAATTCCAATTTGAAAATGGTTTTCAGGTATCCCACGAAGAATTAAATAGAATTGAGAAACAAACAAGTGAACTCCAGTTTGATGACAGGCCATAACCAATCAGTCTAAACAATTTTATTCATTCTCATACTTGTTGAAAACTAGTTCAACCGGGAGGATGATACAACCGAGAATCATGGTGACCTCCAGGAAGGAAGTGCCTTCCAAGGTCAAAATAAAGAGTTTCATGTTAAATCATAACTTTGAGATCCTCTTTAAGTTAATGCACCATATTTGAGATCTTCTGATCTTAGAGAAAATCTCAAAGTTATGATATGAAGGTAGCTATGCTTTACGATTCATCTCTCAAAGTTTTCAGTCTTAATGAGCAAACAAAATATAGGACTTAAATATTTAAATAACTAAATACGGCTGGGAGCACGGCTTTATGCAACAGGTCTAGTCCCGCAGAACCTAATAAGGTACAAAATATCAAGGCATGCATTCATTTCAATTTTAAGTACCAAGGGAACAGAATGAAATAACAAGAGATTAAGCTGTGATCCATAATATAACTTAACAATCGATCGGGGATGTTGGGAACTTTGCAGGAATTAAAAGCTGTATGTTTTGGCACAGGTTAGTTATGAAACATCGTCCTGGATTGCTCGTAGAGAAAAAAAAAGAACACCTTTGCATAACCTACAATCCGATATTAGGAAGGATTATATATAGGCGAAAGAGAAGAAATGGAAGTATGAAAGGATAATACTGAAATTCTACATGCTTGTCAGATTACGCCGCTTAAGATCCCTGACTGACTACAGTGCTACAGATTCAAATTGACTACAGAAAATAACAAAAATTGAGTATTTTGTAAATGCATGCGAGACCATTGTAGTGTTAACGGTTTAAGCCTTTAAGGTTATACATGTGTTATATGAATTCTTATCCGATTGTCAGAACCCATAAATGCTTCAATTCGTTTTGAAGTGAGGATAGTTGCTAAGAAAATAAAATCCAGTGGCGTATTAAAATTAGCTCAGACGAATGTAAAGAGATGCCGAAGTGAGCTGTTCAACAAGTTACTAGAGCTTAAGTACAAAAATTGATGCGGCCTAATAGTCGTATTTAAAGAGAGCGTGCGAGATTAAACATTTCACGACCTTCTTTAAGCAGAAAATGAGAGGTCATGCAAAAACCAGGCGAGAGAATCGGCAAAAAAGTGCCTAGCTAAAGCTGCAAGTATTTTGGATTTTTAAACTTTTCCATCACCGGCTGGTAAGAACTACATTTAATCGGAGAAGTCAATTCTGAAATGGACCTGCAGACAATAGTAATTCGTTCAACAGTATTCATTTTCCACTGCATATTAGGGCTCTGCCATAAAGAATTATCACATGAACGATTCAAATGTCGAAGACTTCCTTCAAGCGACATCACTACATCCTAGATGACCATATCTCCTGCCTCATTGCTGACCCATATCATACATGCTGGTTTATTTCAAAGTTCCAAAATATAGGAATATTACCCTGAATAAAATGTCAATCTCTACTCTCAAACATTCTAATAAATTTTAGCGTTGCATCAATTTGAATATTCGACTGGCACTTCGTTTGGCATGTTTTTCACTCGTTTCAAATAGTTACCAATTATATAGAAGCTTTAAAATTAAAATTAGGGTTAAGAAAATTATGTGAGGAGTGTGAAGAATTTCGGCAGGTAAAGGAGGATGTTGGTAGCATAATTGCAGAGCAGTTTATTCGCTCGGGAGCAGAACGTCACTGAGGACGACGTTCACGTCATGCGAACACCTAATGCTTCGCGGGACTTTTCATAGACGACGTAGGATATGCTCACAGCGGGCGCAACCTGAGAAAAAACAAAAAGAGTTAGGAGACGCAGAATGACGAGAACAATGGAGTGTGGAAAAGACAGAGATAGTGAAAATGTGAGAAATTGAAAAAAAATGAAAATGATTCAAGAAAAGTACGATAGAGTTTTGAAGAAAATAAGAATGAAGCTAAAAGTAAAAGAATGACGTGTGTAGATGAGAAATGCAATTAGATAAAGAAAAACGAAGCCAACACGAAAAAATTGTAAATGTATCGATACTAAATTCATATTCGATGTGTGTAGGCACATCATTCTTAAAAATTAGTGCATGCGTACTTTCATGAAGTTTGGCGTGATGCCTCTGTACAGCCCCATGGGACCTTCCTTCTGAATGATTTGCTTGAAGATTCCAAGCGATGTAGTAGGAACATCAGGTCTGACGGTGGCATCTTTAGACAGAACTTGAGCCTGTAACCGAGTTCTAATCAGCGCTAGAGGATAAGATGCCAGTTGCCCGCATGTAGAGGAGAGCGCCCCGCAGCCAATGATTACGAAGACGGAAGGATCTTTTTGGCCTGGAGAGAGTTGAGCGTAGCGCTTCTTCAGAGTCTCATAAACTGCCAAATCGATGCCGGCGTACGGGATGATGCCCAAGAGGTTCGGTACATAGCCACGGTAGAATGATCTGTGAGTGACAAAAGTAATTGCTGATAACATCATATATTACTGTTGACAAACTTGACTTGATACTTCTTAAATGCATTTTAATGTACAGGAAGAAACCTAGCCAATGTAATACTAGGATAACAAACAACTGAATTGCCCGCATCTTACCTAGGACCTTCAGTTCTGTAGATTTGTTTAGCAGCATCAAAAATGCCAGTGTATTGACCACTCTTTCGCAGAGCAAGTCGAGTTTTGAGCACCTGCAAATATAAAAATACGGGTAAACTGTTAGAAATTACAGTATTAAATTACAAAACGAGTGCTGCTTAAAACGCTTAATTGAAAATACACAAATAATAAACGAGCATTGTGATTACGCAGCAACACGCACCTCCATCGGATAGATGACACTTTGAGAAAAGCCTCCGGCGAAAGACCCAGCAGCAAATCGCTCATAAATGCTCAACTCCCGGTCAGCTGCTCCGAAGTTTTTCATTATTACGCTCTTCGCTTGCTCGTATGCGGCAAATTTGAACGCAGACTCTGGAGCGATCTTGATGACATTGATGCCGTTACCGCGCCACAAGCTCTTAATGCCACCTTCGTCAATCATGTACTTTATGCACTGACGCAGACTTTTAAATTTGTGAGAACCATGTACCTGAAAAATAGAACCATCAGTTAGCCAACAAAATCAAAATCAAATTTTCTGCATCCGTAATTTAACAGCGACACAAAAATTTTGAACAAATTTCTCACTAGTCAAGAATGACAGTAAGAATGCAGGAAAATACCGCAATTATATTTACTTTATTCGCAATTAAGCATCGTCAATAAGTTTTGGGCAATTTTTTTACAAGACGAGAATGGCATTTAAAAATCTGCTGGAAAATAACACAATCGAATTTAATGCATTAGAAGTTCAGCATCGTGAATTGTAAACAAATCTTTCACAAGGCAATAACGAAAGAACAAACCTGTAGGAAAACTTTGAGTCTGTCCAGGGGGGCGGTACACGTCCTGCTGACCATGCCTGCCACGCCACCCGCCACCAGGTGACGCCACCATTTGCCAGACACCCACTCCTCGGCGCTGAAGTCGTCAGGAATGCTCAAGTCTTCGCCAACGTCTAAGTTCTGTGAACAATTTCATGCAAAATAAAGCTACATTTCAAAACGAATTCTCCGAGCTCGGACTTAAAAAAAAGGATTTTCAATACAGGATTTCACCCGGTTATGAGAAAATGTATTTCACGGGCAATTACTTTAGCAAATGGACAGTGTACATGAATGGAAAGAAGTAAAATAATAACGTACAGTTGCATGTCGCCAGTATAAAATGATGTCTCGCAGATTCGCTGACGGGTGGAAGAGGAGATAGTCTCGCCACTCATCGAAACTGATTTCAAGTGTGCCATCCTTGTCCATCCTGTGGAGAAGAGAATTATAATTAATATATTTAATTATAATAACAAGTCAAAACACGTACAAACAAAAGATCCAGTGGAGTTTTATACAAACTTTCTTTTTGCTAACCCAGCTACTGCAAATGCAGTATGCATAAGATTCGTATTAAAAACCACACAGGAGTCAAGTAAAAAGAACTCTTGAAGAGACTAGCACGAAAGTGAATGTCATCAGAACGAGCAGTGAGCATGTGAGTTGTCAGTCGAGTTAATCCGCACTTATAACACTGACATTATACGTCACCTGAGAAGATATAGAACAAAGTTGAACGAACCTAACTATCTTAAAGCACAAGAATATCAGTCGAAAGCAATCAACAGACTATTCCTCATGAGCTACTACCAACTAATTCATTGAAATGGCAAAGATTAACATTCAGGCCCGTAACCTAACCTAATTATTCTTCGATTTACTAAATACGAATATACCAAACGGAAAAGAACTTTCAAAAATACACTGGAATACTGACAAAACGCGCATATAATACATTCCGATTATTCATCACAAGAATTTTATCCGTATTCAAGATAATATCTAAGATCGATATCGATTAAAATAAATGATGTCGTAAATAAATATCTTCTTGGTCATAAGTGAAATGTGACTAAAAACATGAGCATTATTTGAGATCGGCACTTAGCCGTATTAGGTTGATAAGCACCTGAAAGCTTACAGTAACGGAATGCAGAGCGCTGCACAAGAGCAGCGATTTTTTATAAGGAAAGAGAGCTCGTGAAGAGGCAGTGCTGAGGCAACAGACGCTCTCCAGACCTAGCGACAAGGTCGCTTGCAAGCTCAACAGGTCGATGATGGTACAAGGCGAGGCGATAAAACGAGGAAGGAACTCCGCGCTTCCGATCAACTGAACGAAGTATGCGGGTCAAGGTCTGAGTTAACGGTGGAGTCCAGATGGTGATCAGACCCTAGCGTTTTAAATAGTTACCAGCCCACAATAATCGCAGGAACAAATAAATTCCCATGTAACCCCGTCTGAAAATTAGAGCAGGATATGATATTAATGTGATTACGAAGACAATTTTTGAAGACACATCATGGAATTCTTATTAGACGCAAACAATGACGTTTATGTAATAAGATACCGGTATTCCATAACACAGGCGTGACTCAAGCATAGAATTATCACACTGACATGATTTCCGCTTAGTAGTGCGATTGCTAACATCAGATACGACGTAAGAAATTTCGAAACTACCATCTCCTGAGATTTTATTTGAGATTTTTTTTATCAAATTTATACTTAAATTTCAGTAACTTATTAGGCCGATCTTATCGTAGATATTAACCCGATCATCCATAACTCAGAAACGACTTCTTTGCACTATCTGGGCTGATTGCATGGGAAATATTCTTAGCGAGACCATAAGATATTTCCGCTAAATGACCATAGTTGGCAGTTGTGGGCATTTTTCTTCATCAATACCACCAAAAAAGCCACCCGCATTAGGCACGGCCGCTTCAGCGTCATTGCAATGCACCGTGAACCCTCCTTCATAGGCACAGCCGCTTCAGCGAAATGGTAATGCACCGAGAACTCTCCTCCAACAAAGCGCGCAGAAGCGGCACGTCCTCTACAACGAGGACGTGCATCACTAGGACGTGCATCTCTATAGGCATCACGCGGCAAGTCGCTGCCTAGAATTGTTATGTTTTCGTCGTCCCTAACTAAGGTCAGAAACTGGGCATCACTGCTATCGTAACCACAAGACACTCAAATAGCATTTATCGAGGAACTCGATACATTCGTTATCTCCTACCTAGATGATAGAATGGCATCACGAGTAAAAGAATCAGAAAATGTTGACATTTCAGAAATCTAAAAAAATTTCAGCTCCTGATACTCAAAGGGTGTTGCGATTCAGTTATACCTACACAACTTTTGTCAACTAGAAGTGGCTTTACAGTGATTGGTTTTAAAATAATGACTAATTTTTAACCCCTTCAAGAACGCAAAAACGAAATGCGGTTGAGGCAGCCAATAGGCGCAACATGAAATCGTCAGAGAAGCGGGATCAGCGCCCAGTCGTCAAGGCGACGGCGCAACGTGTAATTTAGAGGCCCGCTACCGACTACAGCGCGCTCGCTCCGGCAGTCACACTCAGCCTCGCTGACTGACAGCTTCAGACGAGCGAACATGCGCCGGCACAAGCTACACTTAATTATGTTCCATTCCCAAGACATACAAGAGGAAAGTACCAAGTGACAGCAGAAAGTATGAAGGCCTTTCCTAAAAGATGTAACAACCCAGTTACATTGCCTCAAAATTCAGTCAATCGGGGGTTATTTTCGAAAGAGAATTCAATGGATAAAGACACTGGCATTTTTCCATTCACATGCAGGCAATAATTAGACTGATTGATGATTGATCACATACAGATAGCAGACTCAATATAATTACAAAATTATACTAATTTTCGATCATTCTAATTAAACATTCTAATGGTAAACGATGGTCAAGAAAAGTAATAAAGTAGCAGCAAAGAGAGCGTATTGATCGTGGCTTGTCCTGTCTCTGTTCACGTAGGTTCAGACTCAAGATGTCGCTCAATAAATCAATCCTTGTCAAAGTTTATTATCAGTCAGAAAGCCATAAATTAGAAAGATTAAGAAAGATTGACACAGTCAAGATCTCTATCGAGTCAAGATCACAATCTTTAAATATGAGCGAAAATTTAATTTAATCCTTCATGGCACCAATCTGCCAGGCCATCGTACCTAATGCCTGCGTTACATGATTTCATTGATGCGAACCAATAGAAGGCTGAGTTAAATTTAATAAGCGAGAAGGAAATGGGCTAAAGATACCGGCAATAAATATTCATATCAGGACCTCTAAGGAGAGGGTAATATGAGCCGGAAAACTGGCTGAATGCTTAGAACGCATTGCAAAATTAATTCAAGAGGCTGAATAAAAAAATGCGTCACTTCAAGCAGTCACTTACACAAAGTGAATTAATAAAAATTGGACGGGTAAAAAACGTGACAAGATACTGAACTTGACAAGATACTTGAAGATGACAAGAATTTTGTTTGTTTCAAGAACCAGCATAAAGTCGATCGACAAACTTTCCTTCCAAAGTATAAAGCGGTTCTTTAGAGCGAAAATTTTGAACTGAGCGGAAGGACAAAAGCAACAACTGCGAGGCAGCAATAATATATGGATCTCGACCTAATTCCAGAATTGAAAAACGACGCCGCGGTGAAGTGAGCAACCGAGTTCAATAACCTTCAGCGGTTGTGGTCCGGGAGACACTGGTGAGTCACGCTCAACTCTCACATGGCGACATGGCTGCCTCTTGCGGACGCGGGTAAAACGTTTTTTATTTCATAATATTGCATTTAATTGCCTGTATCACAGATCATCTCGAGAGGAACACTGCTTTTAGGGAATGTAAAATCATACTCGTGTAAAAATATTGCCGCTAGCTACGTGGTGCAATCGAGAAAAAAAATGCAATCAATGAATCAAATGCAATCGAAGAACGTAACTATGCAACACGTATTAACAAAACTGAAACTAATTTTCATAGCAAAATCATTACATTACAGGCCATATTCTACCTCAAAATTATTAGGATAGCAATTAAGAATCTCTTCCAGTATCAATGAACATAGCTGCGAGTGAATGCACGAGACGAGCAGATTATTAATTGACGTGCTTTACATACGGTCAAGGTTCACTGGATTTTATATGCATCAAGTTGTTCATCGGGTAAAGTATTTGAAAAATTTGTCATACGTGCGCAAAAAAAACTGCTAGAATTATGAATGAGGCATCAAGAACTTGACGTTTGGTCGTAAAAAATATTCAAGATCAGAGGGAGCGGAAACGGCAGAGAATAATTGGCATGACTCGATACGAACGTACGTACAAAGCAGAACTAAGTTCCCATCAGTACCTCGAGAGTATATATAGACAAAATATCGGAAACGCCTAACATTTTGACATCGTCAATTTTGAACATGTTATAAACAATAAATACGTGACATATTATCATGTTTTATTGTTTACTATTGCTGATAATTTATTTTTTTTCCTTGCACAGATATTTTTTGTGTCTATAACCTAACCTGTAAGCTATAAATGGCAAACCTTTCTGACTTTCAAAGAGGCCAAATTATTGGTGCCGGTATGGCAGGTGCTAGTGTGACAGAAATTTCTGGAATGCTTGACGTTTCTAAAGGTACTGCCTCAAAAGTAATTACTGCCTTTCAAAGAAAAAAAAAGTCCTCAGCAAAGCACAGGTCTGGCCGAAAGTAGAAGTTGTCTGGGAGAGACCGTCGGTACCTATATCGAATTGTGAGGGACAATCGAATGACCAAAGCTGTAAAAATTACTGCAGACCTCAATGGACATTTACAGCGCCCAGTTTCCGTAAAGACTCAGCCGAGAACTGCACAAATGCGGATTCTGTGGAATAGTTGCAAATAGAAAACCTCTGCTCTCAAATATAAATGCTTCAAAGCTTTTAGAGTGGTGTAAAAACCTCCAAAATTGGTCCCTCGAGCAGTTGAAAAATGTGATTTACTTTGACTAATCATCGTTTACCTTATTTCTAAACTGTGGCCGAGTTTACGTTTGAAGACAACCAAAAGAGTCATTTAATCACGACTGCCTCCTCCTAACCGTAAAACATGGCAGGGGATCTGTGATGATCTCGGGTCCTATTTCTTAGAAATCAGGCGGACCACTGATTTCTCTTCATGGAAGAATCAACAGCCGTGACTATTTAGGAATTTTGACGGATCAAATTCATCCAATTGTTCAAGCACCTTTTCCGGAAGGAAACGCCATCTTACAAGACGATAATGCCCCGATCCATACATACAGCTGGAATTGTTAAAAAATGGCACGAGGAACATTCTAATGAAGTTGAGCATCTCATTTGGCCACCACAATCAGCAGACCTGAATATTATCGAGCATTTATGGTCGATTTTGAAGATGAATGTCATAAGTCGGTTCCCGCCACCATCGTCTTTAAAATAGTGGAGTGAGTTCTAACTGAAGAATTGGCTGAAATTCCTTTTGTATCAATTCACAATTTGTATGAATTATACAGGATGTAATTAAACCTAGTAGAATTGAGGATTTAATTGCCGCAAAAAGTGGACCTACATCACACTAAAATACACTGTGGATTTCTCAGGTGTTTTACTTATTTTGTCTAATCCCTGTATAAACACTTCAAGGTCTTGATATCAAATTGGAAATATCCTATCAATATGCTAAGGCAACAAAGACCTAGATCTGGTCAGAATTGCAATACAAACGGCAACTGGGTACAGAATATGCCTGACGTTTCCTTATGAACTATGCATACACGTGTACAATCTCCTTCGCAACAGACGAACTCATCTCCTAATGCACGTATGTACACACAAACACACCTCTTGCCATGCTCACGTGGGTTCTTTTCTCATGCGTGCATTTTTAAATCTCTCCACACATGCCACGTGCTCACGGTGGATACTGTCAAGACAAGATATAAGCGCTCGGAAATGACTCAGCGACGGCTGCCAGATTTTAGCACGGCTTAATAAGAACCAAATAACAAAACATTAATGAATCCTGACATGGTGATATATATACACCTTAATATGTTAATGATATGCACAGGCTGTACTTGAATAGGACACCAGAACTGTCCAGCGGAACTCGTAGCGGAAGACTGAGAGATAAATAAAGTACCTACGTCAAAAAGACTGATAAAGAATAAATATATAAATATGATAGATAAATAATAGTCATAAAAACTGATGAGACAAAATATCTATCACAGAAACGCATGAAAAAGTATATACGCCACGGCTCTTCCTGAAAGCGTATTTATCCTATTTACTTTATCAACTTGTTAATTCTGAATACAAATGGGTGTATATATGTCACCATAGTATGGAAGTTGTCAGCCGCACATAGATTGAATTTTAGCCATTGTGGTCACCGGTTCTTAGAACTCAAGCACGGCAAAGCAAGAAACCCTTAAATGACCTTCCAGGAGACTCCACCTGTAGGAAATTCTCCCAAATCCAATAGCCTGGCGATGACGTCATTCACGTTAGCCATGTACGCTGCAAGGGAAATGCATGCAATCTTCAAGTGCGATAAGGAACTGTAAAACGAACTTTTTTCAGCTATACCGTACATTACAAGCTCACAAATAGATCGTCGCGTGCCAGCAGCAAGCGCGCATTCGACGACTAACCTTGGCATCTGCCAAACAGAACGCATGACTGCAACACTGAATTCAGAGATCGGAAGTGTGCAAGCGTAAAGGGTAAGCTATTGCAAAACACATGCCGCTACTTGACTAAATTCATCTTTTCGGATCACAGACCATTTCGATAATTAGGTGGAAATGAAGAAGTAGCGTGGCGAAACGTCAAAAAATGATTATATATAAAACCCCTTATTTAAATTCTCTTCAAAATGAGCAAACTGCAACAGACTTTTGCAAAAATTATTCTCTAAATAATGTCTGGAATATAAATAACAAACTCGAGTAAAATAAAATGTTTTATGTTTATACCGCAAAAAATTCATTGTTCAACGATTCTATCAGAAATCAACAAAGTTGGCATTATCAGCGAAGTGAACTAAGTCTCTGGATGATTCATTTGTATTACGCACAACTCCTTCCTGTTCCTATTGTGTGAACAAGTGAGGCAGCTCTCTATTCTCTGCAGTGATGAAGATATTGTACGTGACATTTGGAGAGCTTTAGACAATCCAGATTCGGCTTACGTAACAACATTGAGTCCAAACTTAAGTGTCCTTGTTTTTTTACAAACAATTTAAAAATAAACGAAACAATGTCAAAATAAACGCAAAAAATCACATATACTTCCAATGCGATATCAAATATCAAACAAAAAAGCGTGACGAAAATAAAAACGAAACTATACAAATGCGTATAAAATCGTACATTTTTCAAGTCATCGTACAAGTGCAGGATCTCAGCACATGTTACAAGCATTCAATGCATGAGAAACATCTAAGGAAAAACCAATCAGGGGGAAATAATCGTAAAGGTTGAGACTGTAATGTGTAAGATGGCTTCCTTTTTTTTCTAAAAATAAGATGATCAACAAAGAGACGCGTGTACTAATATACAAATAACAAATATAAAACAAATAAAAGGTCCAATTTATTTATAATACCAGTTTCAATAAATTCGATTAGACTTATGACGAAAAGAGTTAATTGACGAGTAGCCAACAACGTAGAGGATTACACCATGACCGCGGGCTGCGTATCTTGATGGACCTATAATAACTTACAGCGCATCATGCTGACAACGAAAGTATTTGGTGATAAGATAAAGAAGCAGACAGAAGTCCAGTAGGTATAGTTAACAGGTCTATAAATGAATTCTAACCAAGCCAATCTATTAAAATATTCTACAAACTGTCTAGAAGTCAACATGTACAAATAAGTGTGCGACGTTTTGCATTTAAAGATTCCACGCGAAAGTGGAGATTAAATAACAGAGATAGGCATTAATAAAAGAGATGAGAGATATCTGATTATTGATGAAATTGTGATCGAAATTTGTGATTCTAAAAATTAGAAATTCCGAAATGTATGATACAAGAAACTAGACATAATTGGAGACATCAATTCAAACATCGTACGTAACCTTCATAAACCCTTGGGTCACCACAAAGCCACAAATTAATAATGTTATCTAGAATTAATAGAAACATCAACACTGTATAACCCTGCATAAAATGCATTGACTAGAACTTATGAAAGAGAATACAGCACGCGGTATACTACAAATGCATGATGCTATTCTGTATGGAATTCATTGCGGTGTAGAATTTCACAATAAAAAATATGAACGAAAAATACGTGCAAATAACATGTCAGTTTCACAGCCGCACACTAACATTGTTATAGAATACGGGCAAACCGAAACCGGACCAAAAAAATTAAGAAAACCAAAATAATCGCAATGAAATTTCGGCCTGGCAAGGAGCAAGAGAACCTTTAAAAGCGCGAAAAACAAGTTTAGCTTCACTACTTCAGAAAAGATAGGAGAAATTGAGCACTGAACTAAAAATCAACGCACATTAGACGGACAAAGCAACTTGCAGATCATTTAAAATCACAAAAAAATTACTCGCAATTTCGTAAGAAACGCGAAAAACGTAGTCGAATTCTTAGGACGTCGTCGAACACCGGATATGGAGGCCAGCCCGCAAAACGTTTTAGGCCTACGTCCGACCTGGTGTAGTGTTGAAGTTGCTGCTGTATGCTACGTACTTCACCAGTGCTGCGCGTAAATGCTTACTTCACCAGAATTTTCTCGAACCTATCACCCCAAATAGAATAAGAAACATTCAGGCATGGCGTGGAACATCATTCACACCAGCTAATAATCCAGCTGACATACATAAGTGACGAAAATTTCAGCCCATTGAAAATGGCAGTCTAGAGCTAAGTAGTATCCTAGAGCAGGCTAGAGCAAAGTTACAGGCTAGAGCAGCGTTAGGTTACGCACACAGTGAAAGCAGGTTTGCCCGTGCGGGCAACCTGCTCCAACCTGCCACAAGAATGAACATAGGATAATAATGTAAGTGTTCACAGTGAAAACCTGTACGAATAGACTTCTGTATTCTATGGTTTCAGGCACCAGCCCCAGCAGGTAACCAGCACGCTGGTAACCTGCTTTCACTGTGTGGGTACCCTTACAGGCTAGAGCAGCGTTACAGGCTAGAGCAGTGTTACAGATTAGAGTAGCGTTACAGGCTGGAGCAAAGTTGCAGCTTACAACAAAATTGAAGCTTATACCAAAGTATCATACAGAATGTTTTCAATGATTGTCTTTAAATATTTCCACTTCAAGACCTTCAAAACTGAATCAGTTCGATAAATAAACAGAAAAATACCGGTATTAATGGTATTATGACGTTTCGTTTCGAATTCCTTTAACTGAGAAACATCATCTGAATATTTTTTATACAGGTATAACTAGAACCTGAAGTAAGATAAGAAACTACTTGAATCTATAGCACAAGGTGCACACTTCATAAATGTGCCCAATTTACCTTAGGTATGATACAAACTTTTGTAAGCGTTTCAAAAATGAATGGAAAGTGAGAATACTTACTGCATGTCTTGAGACGCAGCGTTGACCGGAGGAACTTGAGATCGGGGCACCCAGCGCAGCCCACAACCTCCTACCTTCTTGCACTGTGCCGCAGAGCCATACACCATCATAAGCACGTGGGGATCATTGTACTTTGAATTAGGAACGAAAGGTATTGATGCAATGCCAGAGGCAGTAGTTCCTTGCCCGACACTAGCACTTGACGAGTTTATGCCTAAAGAGGAGTTGGGAGACATGGGAAGCATGCTATTTGTTTGGACGTTATAGTTGGTCGGCTTTATACAGCTTTCTGTTCGTAGTTCATTTGCACTCGATTGAGATCTGTAGCTAGTGACAGTAGATCCAGAGGAGCTGACTCCACCACTACCAGTTATATGCTTGTGACTGGAACACATTTCAGAAGATATCACAGAAATGGATCTTGTTTCTTTGTTATTCGTGAATCCCAAAGTTTCTTCGCGTATCTTTTGGTCAAAAGAAGCGGAAACTTCGCAGTTTGGCTGCAGCATTGAAGACGTCAGTGCACTTGGTAGTAGAGGCGAATCGTTGGAGTTGGACCTTTTGAAAGGCCAGGATTTATTGCCGCGCAGAACATCCAAAATGCTGGTGTTTGTTTCATCACTCTGTTGTTCCTTCTCAGACTCGTAGTGGAAAATAGGAACTCTATCAGAGATCTTCACCGTTCTGCGCATCTGAGACTGTTGAACCCGAACGCTGTTCTTTCCGGACTCGAATCTAGAATTCTCGAACTTATGTTCGCTCTTCCGTTCGACGTTTACCGTTCTGTATCCATTCACATTATACGTAATATCAAGCACTTCTTTAAAAGAACTATTTACAGGAAAACTACTATGGATGTTATTGCTACTAGTTTCGCTACTATGTGTACAGAAACTACTATCGCTATGACTAATAATTGAAGGCCTAACGCAACTGCGTAAACACGCATTCTTTTCTGTCCGTTCGCACGTGCCTACTTCTTCCACTGAACATTCACTTGTTTCGTCTACTGCCATGCCTTCCACGTTTACCAGGAAACCAGCACGTGGCTGTGGCTTCGGAATCTCCATTCTCAGCTGTTACACACCCGACCTGCTAAGGTCGACGTTTGCAAGAAGCCTCCAACTATGATCTCGAAACTTCGCGGTAAAGTTGATTCCGAGGCCGGCTGGATTTCAAACCATGTGCTTTCCTTCTTTTAACGACTAATGTTTACACAAAATATCTCCGAATCCTTCAATTCTAGTTGAGATGAACGACGAGTGTATGAGATAAAATTCTCGAACAATGTGTACGTAGGCAGAACGTAGATATTCAGAGAGTCGAATATCAATGGACAAGCGCGTACAACCTCCTTGAGCCACTGCTTGAATGTAACTGACCGAAAGCAAATGAGACTAAGAGTATGACGAGAGCGAACGAACCTAGTGATATAGCTGCACATTGCCACATTACAAAAAGAATTTAATTTACATATCAATATAGAACAATTTATGATGATTTCGACGATAAATTGAAGCTAATAGATATTATATATTTTATATCGATATGATTAGAGCTGACACACTTGCTACGAAAAATTTTCAAAAAAATATTGTGTTGAAAGTTGGGAGACTTGGCACAACTTTTTCTATCAGCTGATTCTAGGTATTCAGAGATGTAGTGACGATGATACAATTTCAAGAACATCGAATTTCCAGGAGGTTTGACCAAACTGGAAAACTAGAATACATAAACAGAATTAAAATATGAACACTACAATGAGTGCGCCTCACTTAATTTGCTTTAACCTTACATTGCGACACTTCGCGAGATGCTGTTTTTTTTTCTTTTTAGGTAAACTCAAGTCTAACTAAAATCTCAAGTCCCAAGACATATTCATCGGGGGGCACTGTAACTCTTTTGAAACGTAACTGTCTTAACCACGACCTTCCGTGGAAATTTTGGGGTATAATATTTGTCGTCGTTTACAGCAGTATTTTTTTCAAGCTAGAGTCATTGTAGACTTCAAACAGAGTTAGCAGCCAGAAATAGTCGACTAGCTTGCCTACTATTCGTTCAACACTCACAAGCGAGCGTTCCCACAATAGTACGTTGGAATAAAGCGCATCTACGATATTTTCCCCTATTATTATTAAATATGATCAATTTTATTTTCTTGAGAGGGGGCTCTTAAACATGAGATCGATGAATGTTGATTATCCTATTTTAGTCTGTGGAGTGGCTGAGCGCACAGAGACCCCATGGTTGGAGCCTGAATTGCATGTTCTAGGCCCGGAAAGCAGTGAAAATTCCTATGTCTAGAATAGGCGACAGGCCTGACTTGGCTTGATCTGCAACGCTGACAACTTGACTTGATCTTTACCGCTCTCGCCACCAAAACACCCAGCCTCTTTATCTACCTAGGTTAACACCTATGTATACTCCCAGACGTAATGAAGATGAGCTATAGAAACGGTTAAAATGTAGTTAACGTCACCCGCAAAGCGCTAATTATCAAGATCATTGAAACAGGCATGCGTGAGAGTTATCGAACAGATAGCGAAGTCAAGGGAGCACAGCACAAGTTTTTCCCGAAGGCCATCGTCGTTCAGCTTACTTGAAGGCAGCAAAAAATTCACGTGGCGCTATTTTATTGGCCTGCTTGTAAACATTGCGAAGATTTTAGATCCCCATGGAATCATTAATATGTCCTACAATTTATATCAACTTTCAGCACGCCACACTAGCAGGTGCAATTTTAAAAATTGCAAAACTAGTCATTAATTATTGTTCGGTACAATGGACCACGATATTCAGCTGATGCTCAACATATTCCAAGTGTAGTCATCCATTGTCAAATATCCTAAATTGATGTATTATGTATTTCCTCGCTTTCTAAACACTCAGGAATTGACAGCGTATTTCAATTTTTCCGTCAAATTTCATTTGCTCTTTATCGCTGTAAGTTATTATGCAGAAGGCGGAGAGCCACAAAGACAAAAAAATTCAACTTCCTTTAAATGTAGAGTATCATAGTTTAGTGTTAACTCCATCGGCAGCACGCTCTTAGCCCTCCTTAAAAATATTGACCGTACCAATAACTAACTAAGGAATCGTGGATACAGAAACCACTTTCGTGCGCACTCATTAAAATCTTGGCGATTACGACACTTTGGTGTCCGAAATCTCGTGTGTGCTGTGCAGTTCAATCCCGTAGCACGGACCGGATAAGATAGGATCAACTCGTGCGTCAGGCGGCGTCGTGACGTACATGAACCAGTGTATCCAGTAAGCATTCAGTTCAGGCATGCTAGTTACAACAGAAATATTCTCATTCAATTTTAATAACGCTGCTATGTTGAAAGATGATCTTATGAAACGATTTCAGTTCAGCATATCGATATTTTTATTGGTAATTTTTAGAAAAGTGCTTTGTAATACTGATCAACTTGTCGCAGTCAAATTATTTTCGTCTATGTGATGTATAAGGTCGTGATGGTCACAATTGTTGCTGGTTGCTCGTACATCGGGAAGAAAAAAATGCGGCTTAACGAATACGCTGCAGTTAGAATAAATAATCTTAGTTTTTTTACTATCTTTATTAAGTAATTTCGGAAAATGCGTATCGACTTGATACCGTTATACCAACGTTAATCACTAGAAGAAGAATAAGCAAAATTGAATACAATATCGCTGACGTCAATAGAAAATCATCATGAAGAAGATATTCCAGACATGCGTGGCAATGACTGTCGTAAAAGCGGTGTGCACTGTACAAAAATGTCGATAATAGACAAAGGAATAAAAAAACGACAGAAGCAAAAAAAAAAAAAATTGCGCTACATTCGTGTTGGCTTACCAGCATGTTGGGATAAGCTTAAAAGAGGCTCAAAAACACTCATTAGAAACATTTATTTGCAAATAATTTCGAGGAAGTAATAGTATACTTCCTTACTTCCCTCAGCCGGATGTGCAAGGAGGTTGTCGCCAGTGACGTTTCGTAGTGTATCAAATTTCTACACGTGAGCGAAATAATTTCGCGAGACGTCATTTCGAAATCATTTCCTCTGGAACGCCGACCAAAAGTGACACACTTTCTCCATGTACGGTAGCGTTGATACGTCCTTTTCCGGGCAAAACGGAGTTGAGAAGACCAGTCCAGTAGAGAATGTTCAAAGACGGGCAACAAGGATAATTCCAGGCTTGAAGGGCAAGTCCTATGAAGAAAGATTGAAGATTATGAAGCTTCCAAGCCTCAGTTATCGACGTCTGCGTGGGGACCTCATTGAAGTATACAAGTATACTCATGGTCTATACAAGGTCCCTGAAGGGTTACTAGAATTTGAAACAAGAACCAACACCAGGGGCCACGGCTATAAGCTAAAAAAATTGCGCTGCAACTTCTCCACGCGACAAAATTTCTTCTCGCTTCGAATCACCGACATGTGGAACAGCCTTCCCGATGACATCGTTGGCGCTCCAAGTATGAACGCGTTCAAGAACAGACTAGATAAAGCTATGGAAAAATATATGTTCAGATTTGAAATGCCTAGCTCCTTATCGAACCCGGTGGAAGTCTAGTAGCTTCTTCAAACTATCGCCAGTCATGAAAAGATCCGGTCAAATGACACGAGTTTAGATCTATGAACAAGGCACGAAATGGAAAAGAATCGGCGACAGGCCACATCAGGCCTACACTTCAGAGCCGACATCACTATGTTATGTTATGTTATGTTAATAGCTAAAAATTGCGTCAATTTAGGAAAATAGTCTCGCTCATTTCTCCGAGTATCGACGCACGGATAAAATTTCTCAACATGGGCTGAACATTTATCTCACAAACTGCACAGAAATGACAGAGAGCCTGTTTGTTAGTACACTTCTTTCTTCGAGCGCTTCGTGTCTTGTTTATAAAGCTTTCAGATGGGAGCTGTAAACAAATTATTAGGCCATCAACAGATAGAGTCCGGCACTTGAACAAGTAAGGTCATGAAAATATCAATACCTGTAGGTAGGCAAGCATCCTCACTACAAACCCAGTACACTAGTTCCGTAAAGAAAGATTGAAACAGCAAGTAATACTTTAAGCTCCAAAAAAAACAGAACTTTTAAGCTCCACAAAAACAGAACAAAATGGTAGAACCCGGAAGTTTCATAACATGGAAGAACGATTCGTTCGAGAATGAAGAGCATGTCGATTGCTGTCAAATTTGTTATAAAGTCATTTACGACACAGGATTACAGCATTACGATTGCTCAGACTGTTTAACGCCTTGACGTCAGTGGCAGATCAGGAATCAACGAGATTATATGGACCGTATCAGTGATCATCAGTGGTGCTCTCAGACAAATGAATGGGTTATATTGTCCAAATAGATACTTTCTTACTTACAGGGCGAGCAGGGAACGGACGAAGCAATAATAAACCCTTTTGCCAGGCCGAACTGGGTCAGAATGACCCAGTTCAGTGCATCGCTATTTGGACAAAGTTCCGCTCATTTTTTTTAAGTGTTTCTCAAACAAAGTTTGACAGAAGGTTTGAGAGTTTCTTAAACTTTCTTAAGATGACACATGGCCCTGAAGCTAGTCATTGACTGATGAGAGTTGTTTCCGGAATTGAACAAACTCATGGAAGCTAACCCACAATTTCATGCAAGGATATTCGAGAGGGCAATACTGTAGAGACAATAGTCTTAATACTCTGAAACTTTTATGGCATCGAAAAAAGTTCAACGATATAGGTACTAATGATCAAAAGCATCAATTACAAAAGCGCTAGTCCCAATTGCAGCATTAGTTAATAATGAAACAGAATAACGTCTATTCGTTAACTAAAAAACTTCACTGACATTACAACGAACTAGTGAACATCACAGAAATGAAGTAACGTGCAATTTAAAAAGAACATACATCTACACAAACATCAACACATTTACTTCAATCGTAGAAATAAAAATTAAATAAGTTTAAAGCTCCTCGCAATAAGAAGAACTATGCAAGGCTATACAAGTTTAGAATTATATGCAAGCAAATATAAAAATGTAATGGAAACGATTTTCGACATGGTATTCCTAGATCAAGCCCATCAGATTACTGCATCAAGTCTATCAGTGCAGGGTATGATGATGAGCGTGCCTTCATTAAAATGAGCCATGCAACAACTCTCCATACAAGCAACTCTGTCCATGGAAGAGTACCATTGAATGAGCAGAGATGGGAACCATTCAAGATTTTGTTAGTGAAGAAAAATCTGAAGCAGTTTCGTGGTTACCTGCGGTCCGAAGAGTAATGTTGGAAACTGTCCATGGTAAGAGAGAGAGCATAAGTTATGCCACAGTCATCACACACTCTTGGTCTTGGTGTGCATAC